CCTTACCTTACGGAGTACGAGCTGTTGCGTAGTTGTACTCTGCTCTGCCGGCCGAATCTCGCCTTTGCTCCCCTCTCTTTATTATCCGAAGATGGCCACATGGCATTTGCCGTGACACGTGCGATCTTCGTCGCACGCACATCCAACAGCCAGCCCATGGACGGGGATGTGCATCATCATCCACAAGTAAGTCCTCGTACAAGCTAACGCCGGACACGAAAGAATGTCTTGATGCAATATCTAGCGCGTACGACAGAAACAGTGGCACAATATCGCCAGCTTTGCTGTAATATACTTGCCTGTGGTAGGTAAATGCATGCCGCTGAGCACAGAATCACCCATCCTTTGCATGTACGAGTACTACTAGCATGATTCCCTCACGACGCTGACGGCGGCTTGTCAAAATCCTGCGGCATGCATCGACCGTTAGCCCAGCCGTCGCCTTGGGCCCGGATAGATGAATATATTCTATCACCCAGGCTATCAATAATCACATCACTGGGCATCCGCAAATGTGACATCAAATGCTTCGCCTTTCAGGAAACGAAATGGCGTGTCGATAAATAGACTTTCTGGGCTTATTGTGGGCCGCGGGCCATTTTCCTGCTCTCGAGTTCCATTCCGTTTCTTGCTCCCCCCTCCAACTCCAGTTGCCCATGGATCGTGAATCATTGTATTGTCGGAAGTGGCCTGATCGTTGCCGTGGTCTCGAGTCTCTGCCCAGTGGATCGCGAAAATTGCAGCAGAGGAGAGAGCAATCAGCAGGAAACTCTCGTGAGTCGGGTTTCACCTCCTCTGCCGGGTTTGCAAGACAGGCGCAATCGTCGATAAGGTTAGTAGAGCATCGATCGAAACACGGCTCCCCGTCTGCCTGGCTGTCTGCCTCTCTGCCTATCTGTCTATCACTACTAGCTGTCCTAATGAGCTCGTCCGGAGCATCCGATGGTTTCATCCATTGGCTCCGGTAGCACACCGCATCAAGATGCAATTGATTCGATTCAACCACAGCAGCAGCGCTAACTGCGATGGCACGGCATGACAGACAGCCTCGAGCCATCCATGCCCTGGCGCATTTCGGCGGTGAGCAACAACGCTCATGCTCGTCGGAGTCATGAGGTAATGGAGGCAGCTGTTTGTGTGCGAGTGTACGAGTACTGTACTCGTACCAGTGATTCAGGTGCCATGCAAGGCAAGGTCCAGTCGACACGGCGCTTGCAAGCCGCAGTATCACGTTAGAAGGCGTATGGTGGCTTCTAGCAGCTATGCATTTCGCGCTGAAGAAGATTATGGATCAAATGTCGAACGGTCGTTGGTTCTATTTATGGTGCCCGCTGTGTCAGGATCCATCTGACGCATCTCATCTGAAACGGCGATGCCAGCAGTCAGTTTGAAGCCGAACCGTTGCTTGTTAGTATGATATCCAGCCTCTCCCAAAGCCGCACTATTCGCGCGACAACCTTCTCCTCCAGCAATCTCTCCGGCCAAACAAGGCATACCCATGTTCCAACGGGCAAAAGTACACGAGACGTTGTGGTCCCTTACTGATCATCGCCCATCTGCTAGCTTCATACAGCCGCCCGAATGGCAGTTCGAGGGCCTGAAGCACTCGAGATCCGCTCCCGTGCAGCTCGAGTCTCGTGTGATTGTACCTCTACTTGGGTGCCTCTCCGAGTAGCGAGTACTTTGCCATGTGCTGCGCATGCACGCCTCTCCAGTCTCCCCCCCTCCAACCCATCGCGAAATAAAGCAGCCCAGCCAACCAAAACCCCGGCAACCCTGTCTTCTCGCAGAACTCGCCTTTTCACGCTCGCACGCCCCTGCAACGAATCAGTTGGCCTTCTTTTCGCCTTTCCAAGGCCTTCCAAAGGGACTTTGCCGTGCCAGGAGCCGACCGACCGATGCTTGGGCCAAGGACGGACGAGTGGAGAGTCAAATTCTGCAGCAGAGAGGAGCAAGGCAGAGGGCATAACGAGATTGGACCAAGAAAAGAGGCAAACGGCGGCAAGGCTCCTCTTGGCTTTTTCATGCCTTCTGTCGCCCAATGATCATCAGCTGTGATAACCTCGGGTCAGTAACAACGCTACGGCTCGTAGTGGTGATCAGATCCCATCTGCAAAGCTGCTTGATTAGCTATTCTATACTTTCGTCAACCTCTTTTTACACCCACACCCCCCTTGCTGGCCATGGACAGGACCAACAAAGGTACGCGATACTGGTTGTGCCTCTAGCACACGGCAGAAACCCTGCTCGGCTCTCGACTCAGCCCAATGCCCACGCAGTGGCTCCGTACGATAGGGCACAGGGAAGGACGACGAGAGGCCGTTTGCTAGTGACGAGTTTGCCTGAGTTTTCAGCGCGTTCCACGTCCGTATGTGGTGTACCTTCCTATCAACTGGCTGCTTGCTGGAAGTCGTTGGAAGACGATGTAAAGTTTCATCTTCATCTGCGGGATGACTGGCATTTCCTGATTGCGGCAGATTGACGCCTCTCATTGGCTGCGGCGTCAGAGATGGCGATGATGGAATGCATCCGAGCATCGATTAAAGTGCTGCAGAGCTGGCGCGATCTGGATCATCAGTCTACCTGGCTAATACTGCTGGCAGATCCGACGACTATGAGTACTTGCTTGTACGTGGATAGAACGCGCTCTTGGTGCAGTTCCACAGAACAAGACACGCTCTGCTAGTAGAATTACTACATAGCTTCGTCCGTGGCCGGCGTTTGCAGTCGCATCACTGGCATCGTTGAGCTATCTCCAAGTTTGTAGCACTTTCACCACTTGCTATCGGAGACGTTACGAATGTGTAATAACACCTACTTACCTGCTGCCGTTATCATTGTTCCCACTACTAATCTAGACTCGTACTTGTACGAGTTGCTGGAATTGCGTCAGCTTTGCTCGTCCGCTTGAACCGCCCACTTCCGCCAGGTTTGATAATATCATCTCTGCGGCTACTAATAACTACACGAAGGCAACCGCATAAATCAACTCCATACCCATCTGTGACAAGTCCCCACCTTCCTGACTCGACTATCAATCGCCCACCTTCTGCGAATAACCATTACCATGGCACTTGCCTTTGATTTGTTCCTGAGCCGCTAGGAGAATTCTCAACTCTTTTTTTTTTGTCTTGTCCCCATGTGGGTTTTAACCCCATTTGTCTTTTCCTTCTTCTTCCTCGTCCCTCTTCAATGAGCCTCAACTTTCAGCCATGCGAGATTCATGAGGCTTCGCACGTGGGGGCGTCGCAACAGGCGGAATGAATCGCGCCTCCATCGCGCTCGTCTGCATTGCCGCTTGTGGACGTGGTCCGGAGGTCGCATTACAGACGCCAGACGATTTGACGCACCAGGCGCCATGTGGCCGCTGTCGTCATTTGCAGCATGTATGCACTCCAGGCCTGGAACAGAGGCGGCCGGAGATTCGACATCAGCAGCATGATGCGGAGAGCTCGCATCGTGGCTCGAGCTTCCCCATGTTTTCTTCTGCTCAATGTTCTCTTCTATGCTGTGCCTTGTTGCTTTCGCTTCGGTGGCTGAAGAATCATTCGTCAGGACTTCGCCGACCCCTCTAGCCCCGACAAGAAGCCCCCCGCCCACTTCCCGCAACGGCTTCGGCTAGGGATGCTCGATTTCGCTTTTCTTTTCTGGGCATCAGGTATCAATACGGGGTACGGAGTAATGAAATGCCACGGAGCACCGCCTTGTCTGGTAGCTCCTCGTCCTCCGAATGGCATGTCCTCCGAATGGCATGACCTCCGCTCGGCACTCCTGGTACTGTGGTGTCCGGTACCAGCATACCGACTCGCCGTGTCTGCAGCAGAACCTGGACACAGATCTCCCCACGGCCAAAGCGTGACGAATGAGGCCGGAGTTGCCAATCTCGTTCGTGTGGAACAGACGGATCCATGCTGCTCAACACCATGGGCGGCTATGCCAATGTGATGCTGGTTTCCACTTGCCAGAACGAGGACGCGCCGCACGCTTTCGCACACCGATATGTCCTGCATGAGACGGAGAGCCAAGAGGCCTGGCCAGTTGTAATACCCTGGGCTTCGAAGCTGTCATGGACTTGCTGCAACGTCTCCATCCTTGTATGAAGTATTTTGCGCCGCACCAAAGCAGTTGACGGGCATCCATGTCCTTCGCAAGCTTCACCGTTTAAGCAAGTGTGCTGCTTGTTCCGGACGTGCCCAACATCCTGTTCTTGACCGGGCACGCCGTTGAAAACTCTCCGAAACCATCCAGATTCTACGAAACCTCCGGTTTACTATACCATTTGCTTCTGCTTTTGGCGCTGCACAAGACCAGCTCGGACCGTGTTTCAAACGCCTCATGCTTATTCAGTCTTGCTCGATGCTTTCCCTCGGCGACATTACAAGCCACTCCGCTCCGTCTTTGGCGGGAGAATGCGCAAGTTTCAAGAGACTCGGACGACAGTGTGGCTTCAGCCTTTCCGTAACTCTATCGCTTGTTCGCTCCCAATCAGCCTTGGTCTTCTCGTATACAGTCCAGACGGCGCGCTTTGCCAACGACGTGCTGTGCATATTCACTACTGAGACTATAACATGGCTGCATACAAACCGGCTACTGCACGATCCGTTTCAATCCAAGACCAGCCGTCAGATGCAGATCTGCCGCGGCAGTCCGCATTGCGCTTGCGTTGTTCTCCGTACCTACATGGCCCGGCTTATTACAAGGGTTAATCTCTACCACGGAATACTGCAGAATGCCATCGATATTCCGTGCCACTTCGATATTATCTGTCCTTTGTCGTCCGAGGCCCCCCCCTGGATACATGCTCTGAGCAGGCAAGAACAAGGACTATTGCGCTGCTTGCGAGTCCTGCAATAGGTAGGTAACTGACCTTGCTCTCCTTGATTCTGCCACCAAGACCATGATTATACCGGACAGGGTTCGCCTCAACGGTGCTCTAGTATTACAGCTACAGTAGAGGCACCATCGAAGCCCTTGATAGCGAATCCTCAAGCCGCACCAACATGACGTGCAACGAGAGAACTCGGTACTCCATGGCCATAAATTCTACTCCTACGTTGTACTACCTCTCACAGTACTGGCGTGCCAGTCAGTATGGGCCACCTACTCGTATGTATGCACGAACAAGAGACGGGAGGACCAGGCTTATCGAGATTGTGGAAACCTTTCCGTTTGTAGGTCGGACGAATGCACTTGCTCGCAACGTGGTTCGCGTTTCATGCTGCACTATCCCGGCATCGATGTCCATGGACCAGGGCATCGAATCACGCACTAATACACACAGAGACAGACAGATCGTGCCACAGTCTCCCTATAGGAAGCAATACGTGGAGCGATACCGCCTCGTTCGGCTGGGCATGTGAGTAACATCGGCAGTAGAGCCTCGACTGGCCGAGACTGTGCAATGACAATTCTCTGCGGCTTAACGCCAATATTCAGCGCTTCGTCCTTGTGCTACAAGTACTCCGTATACTGCTACTCGTGCTACTGGTATGTACAGACGACTTGCGTCAGGGGTCTCCAGCCGCCATTCTCTCTCTGGCATCATCTCCGTTCGAGGCTCAAGGGCGACGGACCGCTCTGTGATGGTACCCTACTTGCATGACACATTCCCACAGGTGCCACTCCCTTTCTCAATGGAGCAAGAAAGGAGGAGGAGGAAACCCATGGGTGGCCCGGGCCACGAGGCAGCAATTGCCGACAAGGGCTGCTTTTGCCAAATGTGAACTCATTCCAGAACCACGTAGGACACAGATGCCTAATGAGAGCACAGAGTCTCCGTTGTGTCTTTATTCTCCTGAGCCTAGCGTTGTGCGGGGGATGTCTATGACTGCAGCTGGTGCTGCAGGGAGCTAACAGACTCCGGGGGTGCTTGACGATAACTGCACATCATCAAAGGGTGTCCATGAAAGCTCAGTCAGGGGGGAACATTTACCCCAAAGGACCATTACATGATATACAATGAGCGGTGTCCTGAATCGTGGCCATGGGTGAATGGCATGATTCATGATGGCATCGACTTCGAAATGATAGTCCTAGATCCCAGTTGGTCACTTATGCTAAACGTAAGATAAGAATCGTATCGCGTCAGGGCAGTGGTCGAGAGTGGCCTTTTGCTATCTTCCTGTGTCATTGATGGCGCATCAATCAGTTTCCAACACAGGCGACATCTCGAGTGCGTGTTCGATCAAAATGCTCGCTTTTGAGGATAGAGACAAATGGACCAGATGGCGCTTTTGTTGCCATTGATCGGAAGACATATTGCGGCAGACATATTGGAGGGGAGCAAGAATTAGGACGATGCTGCTTGGGGGAGAACCGAACCCCTGAGCGCGCCCCCCCTTCCAGTTCAGTGGATTCCGCTTTGTGATATGCAGTTCCCCTTTGCCGTAGCGTCTGTTATACGGGGCACTGCGAGTGGTCAGAAGCTTTCTTCTGGAATCCTTTCGACTGATGGGAGTATGCTGTTATTTCATTGAGATTTGCAATCAGCCAGCTCATAGGAATACTTAGGTCAGGGGGGGCCGATTCAAAAAAAGCCTACGCGGCGGGGAGTGGCATTCTGAGCTATTATACGGAGTAATCATTGCAACTGAAGGTGTTTGTTTCCCATTCTATATGCATGAGTGAGTGAATAGAGCAGATCGAGCTATTACATCCAGGGACATCCACCGAAGTTGGCTGGCTGCTATAATGGGCTTCTTGTTATCGTGTTTTACTCTTCCAGAAATAAAGGATGAGCTTGAAAGAGAGGCTTAGCAGTCCGTGTAGTTTTTCTGGAGAAGGAAATGAGCTTTGGGACAGATGATTAATGAGAGTATATAGGAAAGGGTAGATGGATGGACTAGGCGGCAAGAGTAAACAGTACTTATCGTTCTCTCTTTCGATTAAAATTGAAGCTCGTCATCTCGGTATCAGGACGGGGGGCCTATCTGGTGTTGGGGGGGAGCGCATCTGACCGAACTGACTGCTGTAGTTATCGCATACAGCTTTTGGAAAACAGCTCCTACCACTTGTTCTCTGCGTTAAAGGGTTTCTTACGCTTGGAGCTGAACGATGGCATCTCCATTGCGTGATGGCCTTCAAGTTCAGTCTGATGATTGAGATGGACCGCATTGCGGGCTCTTTTGTCTTGTATTGGACCTCCCAAAGCGGGTGGTCTTGATAAACATGAGGAGCACTACTTGGTGACGTTTATCATGGCACGGTCTCTCATGATAGGATTTTGTCTTTTATGATACTGGCGGGTTATGAGCGGAGAGTTCGAGGATGGAGGGCTTCTTTGGAGGGCTTGGATGGAGCTGTAAATTGGCACTTGAGCTTAGCGGTGATTGTGCGATGGACATTTGGCGTTTGGCTGGATTCATGTATTTGTAATTTATATTATGGCGAGTTGCTTGCACTGTCTTGGAGTTTTAATCTGTGCGTAATGTTGATGAGTGAGAGAGAGAGAGAGAGAGGGAGTCTGAAAAGATTCGGGCTCTCCCCTGATGGCGCCAACGCAGTCGAACATTAGCGATCCCATAATGGGGGCAAAGGCGCTCTCCCAACATCCCCAATGGGCAATCTTTGGTTCCGTGTTTTCCTGACTACGATGATTTCCTTCCAAATTCTCATGATCAAGTGATATCTACTGCTACTATTGCGAGATCGGGCCATCTGCAAGTAGTCTGGGTGTAGGTTAGTAGTCTTTGGACATTGGATAGAGTGAGTTGGCCCAGCTGTGGCATTTGGAACGTTTTCCCAACTATTCTGGCTCAACAATCCGGTTATATACCTCTTATGATGTTTACCCCATGATGTCGTAGGTTTGAACATATGGGCAGGAGAGCTTGGATGGCCGCGGCTTGTCGCCTTCGCTCGAAGTTGAGAGGGAACAACGGTTCACTTCTGAAGAAAGAAGATGAGTTTGCCCTGAAACAACACAACGTCGTCTTCAAGACATCCAGCCGGCAGGCTGATTAGTAAATTGAGGGTCAAGTGCATCTGAGATTGCGCTCAGGTCAATCGGGAGACCTTGCGCGAGCTATGGCGGGCACATAGTCGGTACGTGTATGGCGAGGTACCTTGGGCCATTTGATACGTGTCTCTAACTGCTCAAGCAATCTTGATTTCTTACAACACTCAACATGGAGTACCCTGATTTATTCAACGACTACTGTTCCTATATGGCTGTACTCGCAGCATGACGGAACGAACTTTCATCACCCTCGTGGGCATATCCTATCACAAGCACCGAGTTGATATGCACATTTGCATCATCGCTGCGATTGGCATGTGATTGGTTGGCTACGTTGACTTCATCGATGCCTATTATCCGAATCTAAGCACCTCTTCTTCCATACATACCACCTACAAACCTCTGTCAACTGACATGAAATCTACAGTATTATCCTTGATTTATCAGTACTTACAAACAAAACAACAGACAATCCCCGCGAATGGCTGCCCGCGGCACAGCGGCTCTTCAACTCGGTATTTCTCGGCTCGGCTCTCCAGCTTTTTTCTCCAGCGGCCCGGAGACCCCACGGCCCTGAAAAGCTCCCCGCCAGAGTGACCTCAGAGGGACCCCTAAAGAGCCCTTGGCCAGGCAGGGCTCGCGGGCATGTGACGTGCGCCCTCGCAGGTACCGGCCAGGTACCGCCAGCTACCCACGGGCGCATGACGTCTCCGAGACTTTGGGGGTTGCCAGTTTCTTTTCTTTTCTTGGTCCCCTACAAGCATCCGATTCTCCCCCCCTATGTAGACTAAGCAGCTCGGCTTGTTCCTCGTGGTGATTGACGAGTCCTGTTTCTGTCGCCTTCTTTCGCTTCTTCTCCTGCATTTCCTTTTTACCTTTGACCTTGTTCAGACACCGCGACTTCAACCTCTCGTTCGAACCTCTGCGGGCATGTCTCTTTCATAGAACTGAGAAAACCCCCCCCAAAAAAAATCCGGACCATCGCAAAACCATCCGCCACTGCGCCGCTATGCCATCCGCCTATGCGGATCATGGCTCGATGGCCGACATAGCACGCGACAAGGCTCGACAACATGGCGCGGCTGCAGCTTCGACTGCTGCTCCGCGAAGGATAGACGCTGCCGCCGTTTCTCCTGTAAACGATGTGGACGTGACGTCGCGCGCAAAGACTCGTTCGTGGGATTACGTCTGGAGATCCGGTGTCGCCGGAGGTATCGCGGGATGCGCTGTGAGTTTTTCTTCCAGATGACATGAGCTACAAGGCGACGGGCGGTGCTTGAAGCCGGATTCAAGGACGGCCATTGAGCGATTCCGGCGTTGTGTGCTAACCGCTTCCTGGACAGGCCAAGACGACGGTGGCACCCCTTGATCGCGTCAAGATCCTCTTCCAGACCAGCAACCCTCAGTTCGCGAAATACTCGGGCTCCTCGTTCGGCCTGCCTTCCGCGATGAAAGACATATACCTTTCCGAGGGCGCCAGAGGGCTGTTCAGGGGCCACTCGGCCACCCTCCTGAGGATCTTTCCCTACGCCGGCATCAAGTTCCTCGCCTACGAGCAGATCCGCTCCGTCATCATTCCCGACAAACACCACGAGACGCCATTCCGACGGCTCATCAGCGGCAGCCTTGCTGGCGTGACCTCTGTCTTTTTCACATATCCCCTAGAAGTTGTCCGAGTGCGGCTCGCTTTTGAAACCAGGCGGGATGGCCGCTCCTCGCTGACATCAATATGTCGCCAAATCTATAATGAGCACCCCATCGAGAAGACGCGGACTGCGAAACTGCCAAACGCACCGGGCGCTGCGACAGTGGTGGACTCTGCGGCCGCGACGGTTGAGTCTGTTGCGCCGCGCGTCGGTCTCGTCAACTTTTACCGCGGATTCGCGCCCACCATGCTCGGCATGCTGCCGTATGCTGGCGTGTCCTTCCTCACTCACGACACCATGTCCGACCTGCTCCGTCTTCCTTCCATCGCCCAGTACACGACTCTGCCGAAGAAGAAGAACCATCCGGAAGGAAAGGCCGCGCCTCTCCGGTCCTGGGCCGAGCTGACGGCCGGAGGCGTCGCAGGCATGATCTCACAGACAAGCTCGTACCCCCTGGAGGTGGTCCGACGGCGGATGCAGGTTGGCGGTGCTGTTGGCGATGGCCACAGGCTGCGAGTCGGTGAAACGGCGGCTATGATCTTTCGGGAGCGAGGACTCCGTGGCTTTTTCGTCGGCCTCACGATTGGATATGTCAAGGTGATACCCCTGGCGGCGGTGAGTTTCTACACTTACGAACGCATGAAGCTTGTTTTTGGAATATAAAGGAAGCGGAAAAAAACAAAGGCATGGGCTGTACCGGCGTTTTTAGGATTACTGGGGAGCATTACTTGTGAAGCTTTCTCGACGACCTTTCTGTTTGTCTTTCTTTTTCTTTTGTACTCTCTATACATGATTTACCTGGTTCATTGGGGCTGCACGGGTACCTCAAAGGGACGGAGTTGCTTGATGCTGCTTAGAAGGTTGGACTTGTGGGTTTTGTTCCAGTCAATGTAAGAACACGCTCAGAGCGCTGTAGTGGGAAGAAAGAGATGCATCATCACGCAAATACAAGAAGTAGCAACTACAATTAGTTTATATCTCGCTGTCATATAGGTGTGTCAAAAGAGACGACTCGGTTCTAAGTGGCTTTCAACAGCATTTTGGTGAGTGCAGCTTCAGCTCGCAGTGCCGAGCACCAAGCCTCAGCCTGATTGGTCGACACGGCACTGCAGCTTTTTAGCCTCCCTCAGCCTTGCTGCGCTCAACCTCTCTGTACCAATTTGACTCCAACAAACCATCGCGACTTGTTCAAGACTCATCGCCCGCGGGCCTTTTCTCTCCATTGCGACACATCAAATCAATCTATCGAAGCTCAAACCTCGCTGCTTCACAAAATACTCGCTTCCTCTCAATTCCTACCGCCCGAGCTGCTCTTCACTCTCAGCGCTTCATTCCCTTTTCCGCGCGCCTCCCCAATCATGGCGCCCACCGACCACGACCCCCTCCTCGTCCTCCGCCAGTCCATCTCCAGCGGCCAGTCCTTCGTCCCCAGCGCGTCCGACGATGCCGCGGCCCCCGAAGTGCCCCTCTCGCAGGCCACGCACCTGCAGTTCACAGCGCTGTCGCTCGCCCTGCCCATAGACTCGCCCACGCGCTTCATCTCGAGCGACAAGCCCGTCGACCTGCGCAGCATCTACTTCGCCTGGCTCAACCGCGAGCTGGCTATCCCCGAGTACAACGCCGCGGCGACGCGGCTGAACGAGGATCTCGCCGCCGCCGGGTCCAGCGCCAAGGTGCAGAACCTGGGCTTCATCGAGAGGCTCGACCTCATCACCTGGCTGGAGGGCGCCAGCGAGGAGAGCGAGTACATCAAGCCCCTGGCTGGCGACGCGGGCGCGGCGGCGGCGGGAGCGGCTGCCTCTTCCAAGACGGGCGCTGCGGCCTTGGCGGCGCAGGCTCGGTCCGGCAAGGGGACGATTGACCCGCGGCTGGCGAGCGTGTATGATGGGGAGCGCCGGATGGGCGACCGGAACACGGTCCTGAGGGGCATCAAGCCGACGGTAAGTTCAAATAATACCTCCATACGACATAAGTTGTGCTTCTCCAATTCCCCTTCATCACTCGACTGACGCGATGCTCTAGGACTTTTCTCACGTCCGAAAACTCGCCCTCCCCTTTATTCAGAAAAAGTCGCAGTCCTCTTCCACGCTTGGCGCAACCCAGTCCCTGTCCATCAACCAAAAGGGTCCGGCTCGCCGCCCCGATCCCATCATCCTGCTCTCCCCGTCTGCCTCTTCACTCCTGCGCATGTCCAATGCGCGCTCCTTCCTCGAGGACGGCAAGTTCGTGCCTCCCGATGCCGGAGCGTCCACGGCCTCGATGCTCCACGTCCAGCGCATCATCCCCGGCATCGATCCCAACCGTCCCATGCGCTTCATTCTGGTCGAGGGATCGGAGCAGTTCAAGCCGGAATACTGGAACCGCGTCGTTGCGGTGTTCACGACGGGCCAGACGTGGCAGTTCAAGAACTACAAGTGGAGCAATCCCAACGAGCTCTTCAAGCACACCATGGGCGTATATGTTGGATGGAGAGGCGACCTGCCGCCGGATAACATCCGTGGCTGGGGCCACCGCGTCGTGAGCACGAGCGTGGACCGCTGGCGAGGCGAGGACGACGTCGCGTCTCGATTCAGGGACAAGGAGGTTGTCGAACACATCTGGAAGTCTATCGAGATGAACATGCGGAGCAAGGGCTGGAGGAAAGACGCTGCCCCGACGTCGATATAAGCCCGAAGGGGCTTACAACTCGATGGTCAAAGTTGGAAAAGGGGGGGCGTCGACACGTCATGGAGTTTGATGGGGGTCGAAGAAGTTGGGTAGGGATGAGGTGCAAGATGCTCTATCAGAGCCGCATCGTCATGATGTAGCCATTGGTCGCTGAGGGAGGGTTCTACGACCGACCAACTAACACTTCCTGCATGCATTTTTTTTATATCTCGTTTTAAAGCGACGGCGTTTTGGTTTTTTATTTATCTTTCCTTTTCTTTCCAGGCGAGGGCAGAAAAGAAGACATGGAAAATTAAGTAGAAGGGCAAATAGGTATCTAGTAATGGGAATACGGAGATTTGTACAAGGTATGCGTTTGCTGTCGACTGGCTGTGAGTGTCAAGCGTTTTGTGACCGGTCCAGCTTTATTGGCCATTGGAGGAGCGCTATAGTAAGGTAGTTTCTGGTAATTGGTCCAGTAGTAATTCGCAGCTCATTTGTAACTGCATTGAGCGTTTATCATCTTTCAACGTCATCCATCACCTCGAATTACTCGCATGTAACTCAGCCTTGGCGATTAACAACCGTGAGAGCTCGTACACTCGCGATAACCCGAAAACCAGACTTTTCACTGTCAACGACAATGTCCATTCCCCTGTCCAACGACCTTGATGAAACCAGACCAGCCTCATCATGATATCCAAACCCACAACTGCGGCACCACCACCACCACCACCACCACCACCACCACCATCTGACAGCCCATCATCATCATCACCGTGTCCTCCTTCAACGCCCTCATCATCAATCCTCTTCCAGTCCGATGGAACCACCCTCATCGACATCCCGCGCTCCCTCGAAGAGGCCCAGGTCCCGCCCGGCCACCGGCCCCGAGCCCGGATCATCTCCGGCCCTCCGCCGCGGACGCCCTTTGTCACGCCGGAGCCGCGCCGCCGGGGCAACGATGCTGCGTCCCATGCACGATCCGCGGGAGCGCAGATTGCGGAGCTGATGGCTGCGGCGGCGGCGAGGGGGGCGCTGGAGGAGATTAAGAGGGAGTATTCTGGGGTGTTTTGCTTGCCTAGGGTTGGTGGTGATGCCGTGGGTATTGATGATGGTGGTGGTGGTGGTGGGATTGATGCTCTCCGTATGGGTGAGATGAAGACTGAGAAAGCATCGTCGCCAAGCGTCAAGATTCCTCCAGGAGCCGAATACCTGCACGGATCGATACAGGACCTGCGTCAAGCATTCGTTGACTTAGCGCCGCAGTTCAAGCTCATCGTTCTCGACCCCCCGTGGCCCAACCGGTCTGTCCGGAGGAACCAGAAGGCAAGCACCACATACAACACCGTCTCAACCATGTCCGATATGCGGAATCTTTTGTCCAGCATACCAGTGGCGTCGCGTCTTGCCCCCGACGGCTTGGTAGCGGTTTGGATCACCAACAGAGCCAGCATCTTCGACCTCATGACGTCCTCCAAGGGAGTATTCGCTTCGTGGGGCCTGGAGATGGTGACGCAGTGGACGTGGCTCAAGGTTACGGCCGAAGGAGAACCTATATTTGACATTGAGTCTGAATGGAGGAAGCCCTGGGAGACGCTTCTCATTGCGAAGAAGCGGGCGGGGGGGAAGGTGCCTCTGAAGCTAAAGTCGCGGGTCATTGTGGCGGTCCCGGATGTTCATTCGCGGAAGCCGAACCTGAGGGCCTTGTTTGGGGATGTTTTTGGAGAAGGGGATGGGGAGGAGGAGGAGGAGTATCGGGGGCTGGAGGTGTTTGCGAGGAACCTTACGGCTGGGTGGTGGAGTTGGGGGGATCAGGTGTTGCATTTTCAGGGGGCGGAGCACTGGGTTGATGGGGCTTGATTGCTGAAAGAAGAGGATATTCAGGGCTGAACGAAGGTTTCCTTTCTTTGTTCAAGTTCAGGAGTAATATACAGATACATAGATACATATGCTATGCCGTCCGAGTTCATCATACACTGGCCGGCTGCCATTCTCTTCCCGTTCCTTCTATACACCAGGGAGAATGCTTCTTCCTTTTCTGTAATCCATTTTCCATTTTTTTTTTTTTTTTTTAATCATCGTTTTATAGTATCTCATGAGGTCGTCGTCGTCGTCGTCTCCGTCGTCTCCGTCGACTTCCCGGCCTTTTCCCTCCCCAGAATCCGATCCCACTTCGGATCCAGCACGACGTTGTTCTCCCACTTGACCTCGCCGCTCAGCATCTTCTTGGCCAGCTCGCCCAGCTGCTCCCGCTCCTTGGGCTTGGGCTGCTGGCTCTTGAGCGGGATCTGCATGCGCTGGCGCGCTAGCTGCTCCTCGTTGCGCTGCTCAATCGTCTCCTCGCGCATGCGCCACAGGTCGTGGCTCCAGGGCTCGAGGTCCGCCGGCGGCTCGGGCCACTGGAACGGCCTGGCCAGCTCGACCGTCATGATCTTGTGCGGCTGCGGGCGGTACCACGAGCGCGAGCTGGTGCTGCGCTGCGTGAGCGGCTGCTGCTTGACGTAGGACCGCACGGTGGTGACCTCGACGCCGTAGAGGTTCCAGAGGTAGTCCCTGAGGTCGAATTTCGTGAAGCGGAGGGGCACTTTGAAGCAGGCTTCGTTGGGGGGGAGGTGTTCTTTTCGGAGCATCGTGATGACATGGTTTGGTCTGTATTCGATGGAAGTCCTTGTATGAGCATCGAGATCTTGTTCTGGGGAATCAAGGTGGGAGCGTCAATGGGGGACGTACAGAAAGACTTGCTTCTTGCCCAGTTTAAAGGCGGGCAACTGGCGCGCGGCGGCGGCTTTGACTGCCTCGGCCATGGCTGCGGCGGCTGTTTGTTGTGTTGTAAGGCGATGCTGATTTTGATGCTATACGGACATGAGCCCGGCGGTCCAGTCGCAGATCGGATTTCAGCAGTTCCAGAGTTTTGTCCAAGTGGGGTCGGAATTGGGTTAGCATACACAGTAAGTTATTGCGCAATACACTGTGCGAGTTCTACTGTAAGACATGCCTTGTAAGATGATTGATTGTTGGCTTTCTTTTCGTCTCTTTCTTTTTTTTTTTCTTTCCAATCAGCTGTACAATGCATTGTTCTCTATCTATGATCATGTTATCTGGATTCTTGTCCAAGTGGCCATGGTGAAGCTGGTGGTACAATGAGCCAATCATGACTCTCATATGGGCATGAGATATCCCTCCCCTTTATACACCAATAGCAGCCGTTCGTGATGGCCATGTCCTTGCGCTTCAGACACGAAGGATTCGACGGTTAGCATAAATGGGATGTCGCTCATGACTGGTTGCAACCTCTCGACTGTTTTCTTATATCAGCCCTCAACGTCCCGCAGAAAGCTGCTGTTTCTGCTCACTACCTACTGGGCAGAGCCATCAGAACAGACGGTTTACTCACAAATACAGCACAAATATCCTCTTCGTCTACAATGGCCGCTTCAAGTGCTGAGCCTGAGGTTGTCTTGTACGATCTGGCTTGTGTCAAGAACGTCTGCTTCTCGCCCACTGTCTGGCGCATCAGACTGATGCTCAACTACAAGCGGGTTCCGTACAAGACTGTCTTTCTCGAGATGCCAGACATTGAGCCTACGCTCAGAGCGCTGTAAGCTCGATCCCTTCACTCTCTTGCTCTCCTCCTGATACGCGACAGGCAACGCAAGAATATCAGTTGACATGAGATAGCGGCCTCCCTCCCCATGACCCAGCTTCTGGAAACAAGAGAAACTACACAGTTCCCGCCATCCAGCATGTGCCCACCAACAGATCCATCATGGATTCGACGCCCATTGCGGAATTCCTCGAGTCAACGTATCCGGACCCTTCAGTTGCGCTCGCTTCAGAGCTGGGCAGCGAAATTGAGCTCAAGCTCCGGACCCTGGTTGCCCCAGTCCTGTACCGCTCCATCATTCCGCGCGAGGTCAACATGTTCTCGCCGCGCGCCCAAGAGTACTTTCGACGCACTCGCGAGGCTCAGCTTGGGAAGAAACTGGAGGACTTGCTGGCTGGCGAAGAGGAGCGATGGGAGGCGGCAGATGCGGACTGGCGCGCTATCGGCGAGCTGATGAGGCGGAACCAAGAGGGCGGACCGTTTATCCTCGGTGAGAGGCCGTCGTACTCTGACTTTTTCATTTCTGGGTCTCTGCAGTCTGTGAGGATGATTGACGAGGGCTTGTTTGCGAGGGTTGTGCAGTACCCTGGCTTCAAGGAGGTTTACGAGGCGTGTGTGCCGTATATGGAGAAGAGGGACTGAGGAGCCTTGCTGCTGGATCGAGGATTCACTCGCTGGGATGAGGATTCGTGACTGCTCGAGCGATGGTGAAGCATCTCGGCGACAGATATAAGGGGGAGAGGGTCCCTTTTTTTGGTTTCTATAGAGAGAGCAAGCATCCGACTTGTACAAACGCCTCTGATCAGATAACTGCACTTGATTGGCTCCGGCTTCATGCTTCCGTCAGCTCCTTCACAGATGACTCTGAGGCTGTATTTTTCGAGGTTCATGAAAGACGAGACGGACCGACGGCGAAAGAAGCTGAACAGAGCTTTTCCAAACCCCGAGCTCTTTGTTGCAGACGTCCATGCTCTGTCATCGGCTCACCGAGTGCGCGACGAAGCCAACCGGCCCCCTTTCAGTCGAGAAACGAGGAACAAAGAGAACTGCGACTCCAATCTGGCAGTGAATTCACCGTCAAAGGCCCTTCCAGTCTCATCTCTCGACCCGTTTGGGGCACTTCGGCTTGCGACAACATGCAGCCTGCCCGATGTATCCTGTACCGGCACCTGCGCGCTCCTGCAGTTATTGCAGCAGCTGCCCAGCAGTGCCGAACTGCCCTTCCACAGGCTCCATGGCGCCCTGTAATTGCTAAGACCCAGCAGAGTTACAATGTCGTCGATACTTGAACAGTTCCTGGCCATCATCCGCAAACGCTCTGCACTTTGTCCGCCTTCCTTCTCTCCCTCTGCAACCGGCTACTTAAAGGACTGGACTTCATCTGCATTCCAACGGCGATGCGCAGACCTCCATGATTTTCCTCTACACTTCGATGCGATTTAGCCATGGAGGCGAGGACAGAGATAAGAGCCAGCGAGGCTTCGCCGCACAAGTCGCGCAGCAGCACGCCTCGGCGCCGCAAGAATGGCCGATATCGTCGCACGTCTTCCAAGAGGCACACTCCCTCCAGCTCTAGGAGACACACGCCCACGCCTCACAGCTCGCCCTACCGCAAGTCCAAGTCCAGGACGCCTCAGCGGGGTACTCAGTCGCCCTTGAGGCCGCGGAGAGGCGAGCACCGCGACGAGAGCAAGCACAACACCGCCAGGGACGAAGACACCATCAATGGCAAAGGCGAAGATGAGCACAACACCAAAGACACAGTGCTGGACGGAGCAAGGGAACAAGTTGGACCGGTTGTCAGCGAAAAGATGCTGGCCGACATGGAGGCGGAGAAGAGGCACTACCTGGGCACCAACCTGCGATGGGCACCGCTGGAGGAGCGGCTGTTTGAGATTCTGTTTCTGCGACAGGAGATCCCGCTGCTGCCGAGCTACTGGGAGGGGTACTTCCCGACGGTTCCCATGCCCGAGGCCTGCTATTGCTGGAGGAAGGACATGAATCCGGTGGTGTATGCGCATGCGAACAACACCTTTCGAGGTGGGAAACATCCCAACTCCCCCCTCCCCCCCTCTGCATGCGGTGGATCTCGAGATACTGACGAAGAAAGATTGGCAGCTACCGCAGCACTGACGAGACTCATCGACCTCACCGCAGACATTCGCACGACGTGCCAATCTGGCCTACGTGACAAAGCTCCTCAGATGATCAAGAAGTCTTTGGACAAGTTTCTCAACTGGGCTGCCGAGGACGGCGGCTATCGCCACTTGGAGTACCTCCCCAACATCATCGTCGAAATCGTCGACAAGCACAGCAATGGTATGCCTAGAACGGCCTTTGTGGAGATGCGCATGAGAGACCTGGCGAGGAAGCACCGCAAGATGCTCGCCATCAAGCCGGACAAGGAAGACGGTGCGGCCGAGGGGGATGTGGACATGGAAGTCGAGAGGCAGATTATGGGTGAAGCAGAGGCGTCGAATGAAGAGCGGCAGAAGCAGGCCACTGTCATTAGGAGTCGATCGTGGAGGCTACTTGGGTCGAGGGTGATGGACAAATTGTTTCGGTTGATAGGGCGGCGGCCTGTCATCAAGCCAGAATATCATGGGGAAACATCTGTTATCGAGAGCGATGCCGATGAGCCGATGACGACTGAACAGGGTACTCCAGCAAGGGATCCAGTACACGTCAAGCAAGAGGACGACGAAGACGCGGAAATACGAGTCGCTATCAAAAGGGAGCTGCACAGCGAGTCAGAAGACGACATCGCCATGGCAGACATTCCTCTAGCTTCAGCTCCAACAACAAACTCTGCGTCATCGCCGACGCTGTACCGCCGCCAGCCACCCGTCATCTTTGGCTTCTTCATCATCGGAACGACCGTCATTCTGCTCACGGCCGACTCTTCCAAGGACGAGGCAACCATGAATCTCACGCCGCAGGTCGAGCTGGATTTCGTGGACCGCAGCTTGGGCATCTGGAATGCCCTGACGGTGGCCATTGTGGCGTGTCTTGCGAGGGACGACATGATGCAGAGGACGGAGGACTTTGAGGAGGCGAGGGTTGTTGAGGAGAGTGATCCGGACGCTTGATGAACGGGGGGGTTGTTGTCGGTGAAGTTGAGGTTGTCGATGTTGAACGAGTTGATGTTAAGAGATTGAGATTGCCTGGGGATTTTCCATTGTGGGGTTGGGTGGGCATCTATGTTTGCTTTATACGACGGTTTGTTTGCATTGGGCTGTGCGCTCTTGATCTTGCTTGAGATACCTTTTTGTTTTTCGATGTCGATTTTACAACCCCTGTTCAACAAAGGTATCAAAAACAATAAAGCCTCCCCTATTCGTAACACATGCTCTTCCCCCCCCTGGACCACGAACATACTCATACAGTTGAACTCTCCTCATCAGGCAAAGACAAGTTGAAATGAAGAGGTAGTAGTAATAACACAAATGTTGGGAGATTTTCGGCACGTAACCATGTCCATCCCATGCCCCCCTTCTCCCCTTACTTCTATCTATATCCATAACCATATATCAAAACACAAAAATGCCAACTGTTTCTAATGGTTTTCTTTTCCCTCTCCCGTAAAACGCCTTCATATACACCCAAAGTTTGACCGCGAAGCCCCCCCCCTTCCCAAAGTCCCCCCCCTTTTCATCTTTTCTTATGCTCAAAAAGTCTTTCGTCTAGTGAATTCTGTACAGGTTGATATCGCCTTTCCCCCTTCTGGATATCTGTCAACTCCTTTCTTCTTCTTCTTTCGTCTTCGTCTTCTTCTTCGCTGCGACGCTCGTTTTGTATGTCTTTGCATCGCGATGCTGCAACTGTCATGTACAAACCGAAAATGGAATAATTACCCCCCCCTTTCCTATGAGAAAGCAATCCCTCTTCATCATCTTGTTTTTCTTTTCCTTCTTCTTTCTTCATCTCCCCCTCCTCACAACGCTGCTTCGGAATCGGAATCGGGATTGTCCAACGGCATCCACACCTCCAGCTTGTGAAGCAACCGCTGATACAAAAACAGCATGCACCCGCTCTGGATAAACGTCCACACGCCACGAGGCCCCACGCCGCGGAACCAGCCGCCCACGCCCTCGGTATGGTAAATCACCCGCAGGCCGGCCAGGACGGAGGACGTGTTGAGCGCGATGGCGCCCGGTTTGGGTCTGTGCGTGCTCGGAGACGACGTGGATATCAGTCGCTTCTGGGGATTCGGGTCTTTCGATCGATGTGAAGAAGGAGAAGGTTCCGGCTCGGCGGCTGCGGGCGTGTTGACCTGCGTCTGCAGACGGGTCTTTACGACGTCGAGGGGACACGTGATGACGCCGGCGAGGCCACCCGCGGCGGCGCCGGTCAGGAGCTCCAGGGGCACGCCAATGTCGCGGCTCTGCTTGTAGACGCGGGACCAGGCCTGGAACTGCTCCCAGAACATGAACTGCAGCGCGGAGAAGGGCAGGTCGCGGTAGAGGGTGGCCTTGTAGCCGTAGAAGAGGGCGGAGGCGCCCTCGGTGCGGACGATTGTGCGGGCGGCGTCGAGGGTGCCGCGGTAGTTGTAGCCGGAGGCGAAATGGGGGTTGTTGTAGCGGCCCTGGAGCTGCAGCCGGGTCTTGAGGACTTCGGACGGCACGTAGACGATGGAGGCCGCGAGGTCTCCGAGGAAGCCTGTTATGAGAAAAGGGGTTAGTTGGTCGTTGAAAGGGAGGGGCGAGAGATGATGGGTGTGTGTGTGTGTGTGCGTGTGCCGGCGCAGCGCATACTCACCTGCTGAGAGATAGGCGAGATGGTGCTGCAGCCCGTGGTCTATCAAGAACCGCTTGCTCCATTCGTAGGTGCCGAAGAAGAGGAGCGTGCCCGGGAACGAGCCGCCCAGCGCCGGGATCCAGCCCCCGTACAGACCCCTCGCGATGCCCTCCTGCCGCCAGATGGTGTAGTACGAGCGCCCCAGGGACGAGTACTTCGGCGGGAAGTGCGGATCGCCCTGCTGTCGCGTCTTGACCGTGTCCAGCGAATGCATCAGCATGTCGCCCGTCGAGCCTCCCACGCCTCCCGCAATCATTGCCTAATATGGAGATCCCAATCCCAGCTGTCAGCAAAAATTCCAGCTCAAGATCGAGGCGTTGCCGTAACCCCCCTCATTGCATGGGTAGCAAGAGGGCTTCCCACCGGAAGACGCAGCGTCATAGGCAAGGGGTGAGACCAACGTGGATATATGGCGGCCGGCCCTCGGCCTCGATTTCTTCGCTGTGCATGGCGTGGTGAGGAGCGTCAACGGGCTTCACGAAGTCACCATGACGAGGCTCCAGGGCAGCGGCAGAGTCACGGCCTGCCGCCGCAGTCGGATCGCTGGGCGTCGCGCTGTTCGGCTTTGCGGTCGCAGGGTTGTAGCCGGCGAGGGGGAACTGCGAGGAGCTGGAGAGGCCTTCGGACATTTGGTAAGGAGGCGCCCAATGGAGGAGGGAATGCGACTTGCTGAGGCGTCTATGCGAACGGAGATTGTGAGGGAGGAGGAGAGAAGGGGTCCACGGAGGAAAGAAGTAAAAAAAAAGAAGTAAAGAAATAGAGAACCAAGCCAGCGCAAAGCAGCGCAGCGCAACAAGGTCGCAATTCTATGAGCAGCCCGTCTCCCTGTCCTCTCTGGTTCTAACAGCAACAGGACGGCTAGATGGTACGACAAGAAGAGAGAGAGAACAGAAAGAAGACGACATCAGACCGTCTTCAGCGTCTCTCGATGCCTTGAGCGGTCGCGTGGGCTCCCGACGCTTTTTTCTGCGAACTTTTTGCCCTGAGGCTCCTGATAGGCCGTTGAGCCCCGGCGTTTTGGGGCTCAGCCACATGCGTCGTCCGCATTCGCCGATCCGCTGTGGCGTTACTTGTTGAAATCACCGTACTGTAACTATTACTTGCACTTTATGCGGAGGAAATGGCTGTTGATATCGTGGGATTCATGTTTTGTGAATAGGTAGCCAGGTTGAAGTAAAGTACAAGTATATATCGATGCAGTGTCCCTCTAACGGTAATGATACATCTACCCAAGACGCCCGACTATGCAAATGCACCCGTCCCTATCGTACAATCCCATCTCCCTCCTCCTCGCCCACTCACTCACTCACTCACTCCACCAACGGCCTGTCATGCTCCCACCACTTGACCGGCCCAAACTTCCTCAGCGGATACACGATATGCGTCACCCTCCCCGTCAGCAACCTCTTCGAAACGGGCCCGTACGTGTTGCTGTCCAGGCTCGACCCCGGCGGCCCGTCTCCCTCTACCCAGACGTGACCCTGCGGTATCCTCACCGTCGAGACGGGATACGGCTTCTTTGTCTTGATGACGTCGCCTTCTACTGCAACGACCCTCTTGACGGCAATCACCTCTGGATGGAATGGGCTCCTGTGAATTGATAAGTCAGAACCAGCTCGATATTCCTCTCATGACTATCCACTACACAGCCCTCACGCAAGAAAACTCACCTCAGCGTCACCACCATCCCCCGCTGCAAATCCTCCTGCGGCGCCCACTTGTAGTTGAGCACCACGTCCCTCCGCAGCGACGAGTCCCGGTCCGCATTCATGAACGGGTACATCGAGTTGCCGTCCACGACCGTCAGCTCCGCCACGTGCAGGTTGAACCACGCAATCACCGGGATCCAGGTCGCGAAGCCGATGAGGTTGAGCGCCGTCGTTCGGGCGAGGCTGGGGGCGCTGCTCCCTCCTGCTGCTGCGCTACCTCTGATTCGCGCCCATAGCGAGTTGAGGGCCATGGGATTGTTCCCCGGCAATGTTGGGAGTGGTTGACAGTTGGTTCGAGATTTGCGATACTGATGCGAGGAATTTAGTATATCATATCATTAGACATTGATCGTTACAAATCCAACGTTTGATGAAAAAAAGAGGGCTTCTTTTAAGTAGTGGTGGGGTTAGCTCATGCCACACAGTACCTTAAGGTAGAGCCTCGGTGAGTGACCACTGCAAGATGCGACTTCAAAACCCCGAATATCACCACATCTCAAACTCAAGCAACTTACATACTACTCACATGCGCAAAAGATGGGTGACGCGATTCATTGAGCAATTTATGACTTTTTTTATTCTTCATATCATGTGAGGCCTTGCGCAAGTTCATACGGGCCTCCACCAAGATCTAACCCCTCCAGACTGCCGATATTGCACGGCTTTTCAAGTCGCCATCCCTCACTCGCAAAGACGCCATTACCCACCGCCAAAGCTTCCTAAACCAAATTCTAGGCTCATGCCCTCTTTTATCACGAGCGCTAACGGCTTGTTCTCTTCCCCCAGCTTTTTTGCCCCTTGTAAAGTCCTGACAGGCTCCGGTACCGCATTTTGAACCACAAGTCTCCTCGCTTGCTGGCATAGAGTCGTGAGACACGTACAATTAGATCGTCTCGGGGATGTTGTCGTCGCTGTCGCTGACACTCTCGTCGCCGCTGACCTCGGCGTTCTCGCGCTCCCTCTTCTCCATCAGGGCCTGCAGCTCGGCATCGTCGCTCTCCGTAACGGCCTTGGGCTCCATCTTGACGGTCAGGTTGCCGCCGGCGGCCTCGATGCTCGTCCGGATGTCCACAATGGCCTCCTCCAGGCGGGTGATGCCCTGCGCCTTGTCGAGACACGTGCTGGTGAGCACATACAGGGGAGGTGAAACGAGTCGGACCTTGACCTGCATGGACTCTGTGTTCTTGGCCTCGGCGGTTCGCAGAGCAGCCTTGACAGCGTCGATGCCCTCGTAGCCGAAGCAGGTGACCTCGACGTCGGCACGGACCTTGGTGGGCTGAGGGGTGAGTCGCTTGCTGATGTACAGCTTCAGCTCGTCCTCGACGACCTGGTTGGGGAACTTGATGTCGTCCCACACCTCGGGGTTGCTGCTTCGAGGTTAGTCTACCTTTTGCGTACATCACAACTTATGAGTCAACGGCAGCCACGTACGTGATGGACAGCTTAAAAGCGTCAATGGCATGGCCGTACTTGCGGTTCAGAGGCCAGGTTATGCTCTCGTATAGAGACTCGATCGGCGTCTGCGTCTTCTCGGCAACGTGTCGCATGATGGAGTGCACCATCTTGCTCTTGTTGTAGCGCTCTTCGCACTTGACGATATCCTCGGGCGAAACTCGTCGTTTTGACAGATCAATGTATCCTGCAATCCAGTGTGAGCAACCTGATCATTCTCTCTCCGCTGAAACTGTTGGCAACCCACCCTTCTCCTTGTCGACACGGAGCACCACCACAACTTCGTTGCGCCCGACTCGGATGAGCTTCTGGATACTTCGGATACGTCTTCGGGACAGCTCAGAGAGCAGAATCATGCCGTCAATGTTGTCATACTCCAGCAGCTTGACGTAGGCACCCATCTCGGCGATCTATCCAGCGATCATGATTTTGTCAGAATCTCTGTTCGTTTTCCTGCCCACTCCTTCCCCCCTTTACAGCCAAAAGTGAAAACACACCTGCTTGACATTGACCATGACAAAGCTGTCAATCTCCGGGTACTTCTCCTCATAAAACCGGCAGTTCGTTAAAGACATCTTGGCGGTATTTCTTCGACGTTGGTCGGGAAAAAATGAGTGTCGATTGGTGAAAGGAAGATGGTTGTTGAGGTGGGGGTTGGTTTTTATAGGGCCCGAATCGTCCTTGTCGTTGCCGCTCACGCGAGTGTCAACGTAATCGGTTCGGAGTGGCTAAATCGTTTGGAATCGACGGCCGGAAAAGAGTCTCGGTACTGGCGAAACTCGCTTGCTGTCGGCTCGTAGGTAGGGGAGGGAGAAAAGAAGTCTGTATAAGCTACGTTTCTAAACGATTCGAAGTGGGATGAGGAGTCACAATTTTGATGGTATTTTGCGCTCGAGCCAGACGTTGGTGGCGGGGTGTGGCTCATCCTAGGCGGTCGATAACGGCAATTTCTCAGCCACAGCCACGATTGCAGCTTATCGGCACGTGATGCCCCAAGTAAACAACCAAAGCTTCCCTTCTTGGGGCAACGGCTGCATATCATGACCAAAGCAAACAATGGCTCCAGGTACGCTGAAATGGCTCTATTTTGTGATGTTCGAGTGCGATTGCAGACGAGGATGGACTGACAGACGCACCAGCAACGCAATACGAGCTCTCACCGCCTCCCGGCGACGCGGTATCGGCCATCGCATTCGCGCCCGTCTCGGGGACGAAGCTCCTCGTCTCGTCATGGGACAAGAAGGTGTACCACTATGACATCTCAAACGGTCCCGAGGCTTCGAGCCTCATCAACACATATGAGCACCGCGCCCCGGTTCTAGACGTCTGCTTCGGCGCGGACGACAATGAAGCCTTCACCGCGGGCATGGACTGGACGGTCAACCGGTATTTTGCTACTCCCATGAACCTGCGGGTTTGTCGACACAGCTTGAGCCCCATCCGCTGACCGTGGGAAAATGACAGCCTCAACGTCGAAACCGGCGAATTGACCCCCCTGAGCAAGCACAACGCCCCCGTCCGCCGCGTCGTATACAGCAAATCGCACGGCATCCTCGTCTCGGCCTCCTGGGACAGCACCCTCAACCTGCACAACCTCAACGACCCGTCCAGCAACCCCATCACCATCGCCCTCCCCGGCAAGCCCCAGGCCCTCGCCGGCAGCCCGACCAAGATTGTCGTGGCCATGACGGGCCGCATCATCAACATCTACGACGTCAACGCCATCGTCGAGCTCTTCCGCACCGGCGGCACCGACCTCAAGCCGTGGCAGCAGCGCGAGTCGTCCCTCCGATACCTCACGCGCGCGGTCTCGTGCATGCCCAACGACGCGGGCTACGCCACCAGCAGTATCGAAGGCCGCGTTGCCGTCGAGTGGTTCGAGGACACGGCCGAGTCGCAGGCCAGGAAATACGCCTTCAAGTGCCACAGGCAGGCTGCCCCCGACGGCGACGGAGACATTGTCTACCCGGTGAATGCGCTCGCGTTCCACCCCATCCACGGAACGTTTGCGTCGGCCGGCGGCGACGGCACAGTGGCTTTGTGGGATGCAGAGGCCAAGAGGAGGTTAAAGCAGTATCAAAAGTTCCCCAACAACGTTGCCGCCTTGGCGTTTTCCAACGATGGGAGGTATCTGGCCGTCGGGGTGTGTCCAGGGTTCGAGACTGGGCAGAACGACTACAACGGTGCTGGACAGACGTCGGTCTTTATCCGAGAGCTCGGCGAGAACGAGGCAAAGGGCAAAGGCGCTAAATAAGAAGGGATGGTCATTCGTACGGCAGCCCAGTCCGAGTCGGCGTTCTGGTAGGATATAAGGAATTTGTATTTGACGACAAGCCATGTGATAGTTGATATGCACAACACCAAAGCAGGTAATGTAGATACCCATTAATACAATGAATGGCTACCACTCTCCTGGCACTTCGTTGAAGTTTTGTAGGAACGGTCATGCAGATGATGGAATTGAAGCAATGAACTTTCTCTCATATTCCAAGATAAGCCTATGTTCTTCTACTACCCGCCGAACAGCTCGGACCCTCCCAGCAAAGTTGTACGCAGCTCAAGTCCGTGTGCTATTCAGCACCTGTCTTCCATTACTAGAAACCCGTGATACGAATTCCGTCAGGTCCTAAGGCTGTCTCGCTCTTCTTTGCTCGGTCACCATCCGACGCCGGCTCCAGTACCGGCACCAGCGTGCATGCTACGATCATAGTAATTGTGCTGGTGGCTGTGGCGCTTTGGTAGCCATCTCCAGCACGTCGACCGGAAGCGGACGCTCTACTCTCCTATCTTGGTCGGCGCGATAGGCTGCAAAAGAAGAAAACAGTTGTCAGCGCTCAAAAATGATCATTTTGCTTTCGGAAGGGAAGGGAATGGGGGAGGGGAAGTCAAGCACATACCTTGGTGAGGGGGACATATTCAAAGTGGGCAGCAGCTTCAAAGAGCCAAATCTTCTGCGGCGACGCAGCGGGCTCTTTACCTCCCCACAGCATGCTGTTGGGGAAGCCAATGTCGAACGGATACGCGCTCTCAATCTCCTCAATGTCCTCCTGGGTCAGCTGCAGGGTGAGCGCCTCGATGTTGCCCTTGAGGTGGTCGATGGTGCGGCCGCCGACGATGGGGAAGACGTAGGGCGTCTTGTGCATCACGTACGCCAGCGCGACGCTCGTGAGGGCCGTGTTCTTACGGAGGGCAATCTTCTCGAGCACCTTGCTGACCTGAATGTCGGTCTCGGTCAGCTGCACCTTACGGCCGACCTCCGAGTTGCGCTGCTCCTCCGTCTTGAACTTGCCGGCGCCGAGGGCGCCCCAGGGGGCCAGGGCCATGCCCTCGTCCCTGCACATGGGGATGATGTCGCGCTCAAAGTCGCGGTTGGCGGCGGACCAGCGGCCCTGGTAGACGGAGAACTGGCGGAAGCCGTGGTTGCGGGCGTACTCATTTGCCTTGCTGTGTTTCGGCGTCAGCCAAGTTGGAATGCAGATCGTGTCACGGCGTGGTCAAGGGGTTACCAACCTCACCACCCAGGCGGGAGCATCGCTGATGCCCAGATACAGGACCTTTCCGGACACAACAAGGGCGTTCAGGGACTGCATCAACTCGGGAATCGAGGTGGCATAGTCCCACCAGTGCACGTACAGCTAGGTATGAAGAGTCAAGATATGGTGACAACTCATTCGTCTGGTGTGGCATGTCTCACCAGGTCGATGTAGTCGGTCTGCAGCTTCTGCAAGCTTGCTTCAACAGACGCGTGAAGGCTTTTGGTTCCGTTTCCAGTGAAGTTGGCCGCGATATGAGGACGAGCGGGTCCCAGCTTGTAGCAGGTGGTGTACTTTGTCGCAATCACTATATCATTCAGGAGTGGTCAGTTGTTGTGCACGAGCTGGCGATGACGAGACATACCCATCTCATGGCGGTTTCCTCGCTTCTTCATCCATTCACCAATGATGGCCTCCGATTCCTCGTACTGGTAATTGTTTGCCGTGTCGATGAAGTTGCCTGTCAACGATGTCAGCGATGCTCGCGCCAATGCATCCATCAGTACGTCGACAAGACCGCAACTAACCTCCCTATCAAGAATGTTAGTACTTGGATAAGATACTCTGATATAATAGTTGAGGAAGAGGAAAAGAAGCTCACCTGTTCGTAGAAAAAGTCCAAAATGGCCTCCGAAGTTGCCTTATCGCAATCTCCCATGAAGTCCTTCCTATAAGTGTCGTCCGGGCCATCAGCAATCACTCTTTTGTCTCCACGTAGTTTATAACATAGGAAGAGAAGATGGGAGAGGACTACCATGCTGAGCCAAAGTTCATGGCACCCAAACACAGCGGGCTGACTCTCACCGAGGCAGTTGGCGAGAGCAAGCGGTAGCGGTTGAGCGGGCTCACGGGAGCAGGAGGAGGGGGAAAGAGGCTCATGGTTGCGGTTTTTGTAAATGTTCAAATTCTTTTCTTCTTTTTTATCCTGGGACCTTGCGGTGGGAGTGGTTTAGAAGAGGTGCTCTTGTAGAGAGGATGAGGTGATAGGAAGAGGATAGATGTTGGGCGAGAGCTGTGCCCTTTATAGCTGCAAAGCAGCGAGGCATCAAGGGAGAGCAACAGAACATTCGAATTGCCTCGAGTCGCATCATAGCGGACTTGTGTTGCCTTGCAAAACAGGCAATCGCACTCCAGACATGCAATCGAGTTGTTGAGGCAATCCACGAGTGGTCATCAAAATATTGGGCGGGTGCCAATTGCCGCGGTACAAGTGCCTTCCGCATGGGGGTGCCTTCTAGGCGGACGACACACACAATCGCCCAATCAGAGGCGCGCAGACATGCGACGCTTTGTGCCCTGTACTAAAACCGACGGATATAGTCCACGGATATGCTCCACAGGAGAGAGGCGCGGTGCATATCGCAGAGGAAATTGGCACCGCGAAGTTGGCACCATCCTCGGCCACGATGTTCTTATTTCCATGCCTTTCAGCTGTGTCTAAAGTCCGAGTTAGAAGTGCAGCTTGGTGAGAAGGGCATCCCTGATGGAGACTGGGTCCGCTATAGGTCGGAATGTGGTGAATTGTTCGGCTTCTAAGAAGCAAGAAGCGGGGTTGGCATGGGCGAGGCTTCGTATCGAATCTCGATGCTTCGCTTGCTGGATATGGTTTGCTATGCTGGGGAGACTATAGTCTGTGGCTTGCTATCATCCGGCCCCAGTATGCGTGGTCGCATTGCGGCAACCTCAGGGGAACCCCGCCGTTGAAGAGACTATTGCGCATGGATCGAAGAGATGATGGACTTGATCTGGCTTGTCTTTTCGTCGTTGAAGCGTCAGACACCATTGATATCATGTCCGTTCCGTTAGACATCCATTCCAATAGACTTTGACACTCGAATCATCCAGCCAGGTATTGCAATAGAGCTACAAGGTTCCCTATAAGAACGACAGGTTGAGTGATAATCAAAGCCTACAGAGCCCTATCATCCGCTGTCTCTAGACGCGTATGGTGTGTACATCGATGACGAGACTTCGTGTCCTCGAGTGTGATCATGGTGTGACAAGCAGCACAACTGCACACTTACCGTATAGAAAAGCCGGGCAATCTCCGTGGGAGCCGAGGTTCTTACTGACAGGGTGGTGTGAACCTGGTGTTCTATCTATGACGACAGGCAGTGTTTAACAGGAAATAGTCTTGCTGGTTGATACTGGGGATGGAGTGAGCCCAGGTGGTATTCCATGTACTATCTTTGTTAAGTCCGTGGAGAGGCAGCCAGACAACCGCCGAAAGGCTCGCGGCTGTAAGACTTCTGCAACGAGGGGCGAGTCATGAGAAAGTCCGCTGGCGGAGAAATACCATACTACTATAAGTGGTTTGCATGGCATAGACACAGCTTTTGAGAGAGCCCACTGATGCTGATGACCTTGCAGATTTCCTGAACTGGAACATTGATAGTTGAGACGAGTATATACTTACTAGGTATCTTGTATCGCTTCTCTCATCCTTGCCCTTGTGGGCATGGACTATAAGTTGGCATGTGAGGTACTAATTCGGAAGCTCAGAAACGACACCAAGTGAAGGAGTGGAGAGAAGGAGAGTCTTGCGGTATCTGAAGCAGCAGATTGCATTTCTTCAGGTTTTCCTATGTCAAACAAGCTTATCGTCTTCTATTCATGCTTAATCTCTATATAACGAGTAACTACTATAAACCACTTATAGTTCTGCTAAGCTATATTACGGCTTACGGCCCATCTACAGATCGTCTGAGCGGTACGTACCGATCCTCCACCACGATGCCATTTCCAGTGGGAAAAGGTTGGCGGGGTGAGACCAGGTACGTACCTCCCACAGCTGAATTCTCGCCGGCGAAGAATAGCCGAAATCTTCTCTCCATCATGCCATGGCCAGAAATCTTACGATAGCTCCGTCCAGCACCAAAGCCGCACTCCCACCACCGTGAATGCGCGCATCCTCACCGACTTCGACATCCAGAAGCAAAGCGGCAGCTATGGGCGGCCGTCGACATGGCCTCCACCCCCCCCGTTCCGTCTAAAGCCGCGCTCAACGCCCTCCGCGGCGTCCTCTTGACGACCTCGTGCTCCGTTGCCTTCCTCGCCGAGGAGCGCCGCCGCCGGCTCAAGATTGCTCGCGCGGCGATTGACAATGCGAGGAAGCTGCATACCGTCAAGAGCAACAGGGGCGCCGTTGCGCTGAGCGAGAGCTGGGATGATAAGCTTGGGGATCTTGGAGGCGACGTGCTGTCGCTGCCGGCTGGGACGCGGCCGAAGAGTTCGTATCGGAAACGACGGCGCGGCAATGCCTCTACCTTGTTCGCGGCTGGGGGTGGCTTGGATGGAGTTTTGTCCGAACAGCATGACACGACTAGGGGAGGCACGACAGCCGATGGGGAGCAGAGAGATGACCAAGAGACGCAGATATCGAACTTTGGGCTGGATGCGGTAAAAATGATCTTGCCATTGGCCGACAGCCGTCTTCCGGACCTCTCCATTATGTCCTTGGCAGCTTCTACATTGCCCATATTCTCACACAATCCCAAGGAGAAGAGTTCTGAGGTCGGAAATGGTGTTGATTCACGGGTCAAGGTTTCACTACACAAAGATCACAACTTAACCATGCGGTCCTCGAGTACACGAAGTGGCTCGCCATCCTTGCACGATCTACTACAGATCGACGCCTCTTCTCCGACCCGGCTATCTCTATCATACACGGCAACACAAGCCACCGAGATGGACAAGGTTGTAAGGCTTGAGCAGTTGATTAAAGAGCTAGAAACCAGCCATTCCTCTCAGACTTTGACGCCCGAAATGGTAGATTTGGCCATCGGCGAGCTGCAGAAGATACCAATATCAAGGCCTGCAACCCCCGGATCTAGCGGCCTCGTCAGATCGAGTGGGTTGAGATTGCTGAGGCTCATAGTCGACTCTGAAGCGACCAAGACGACCACTGTCCTTGCGGCCCTGCTCCCACACTTCAAAGACCCCATCCAAGCTCTGTCACCTTTGACAAAATGGCTATGGGAGAAGAAGGATAAGAAGGAGTTCGAGCGACTACTCCAGTTCCTCTCTGACGGCAAGCAATCGCGATTCTGGATGCAGGGCATGACGATTTATCGGGTTCTGTCTGGTCTTGACGAGGTATTGGGCAGCTTCAAAGACGTCAAACAGCTGTATCGTCTGCTCCAGAGCGCTGGCTTGTACCAGGCAATTGCCGCATCCCCCAACATCGAGTACAAGATACGCCGGCTCATGGTCTCAAAGGCCCTGAAAGCAGGAGACGATGCTTTTGCTCAGGAGGAAATGAGCTACCTTTACAAGTTGGACGCAGATGCGGCAAACGCGGACGTCAAGCTCCAGAGCAGGCTAGTTGTGCGCGAGGCCGCCCTCGGGCATTGGGAAGCCGTCCGAAAGGGCATAGAAGCGCTTGAGGATGCAGGCAATGCGAAGCCAAGCGATTTACGATACATGATCAGCAAGATTACCGACGTATTTGTGCAAACCTGCTCATCAGAAGGCCTCGAAGCTTTACTGAGGAGGTTTGTGCGCAGCTACAACATACCTCTGAGGTCAAGATGGGTCAATCTCGTGCTGGACCAGTACGCGAGCCGCCACGATCTGGACTCGATGTTCTCATGGCTGCAATTCTGTCAAGATGCCGGATTCAAGATGGACGACTCATTCGTGCAGCGATTCTACGCTGGATGTCGCAAATACTGGAGCTTCTCCAACAAGAACATTACAAAGTTACACCAGAGCCTCCAAGAGCTTGCACCGGCCACGTCGAAGCTTACGCCAAGCAAGCCTGAAGGAAAGACGCTCAATGATACGCCGCCGGCTTCGCTCGAGTCGAATCGCTGGCTGTCTGAGGCGGATGCTTTCGAGTGCATGGAGTGGCTCTCGGCTCAGAACGAGTGGGAGCGTGTCTGTGCGGCGTACAGCCGATTGTTGTCGAGCGGGTTGAGCATTTCAGTTCGCTGTCTTCGCCTAGCAGTCTTGGGACAATTGAAAAGGCCAAATGGGAGCATTGACGAGGCGGCAGCGCTTATTGACGACGCTCGCGGAAGAGGCTACGACGTGACGGAAGCCTTGACCCCTCTTTTACTGGCAAGACTCGAGAAAGGAGACGACGCCGGCGAGTTGATCAAGCAGGCTCTACGCCGGGGCAGTCGCATTCACGACAGCGTCTACAACAAGGCGGCACAGATGCTCTCGGCCAAGGGCGACTTGCACGGAGCTGCCACCATGTGCGAGGTGGCGGCAAGGGAAAACGGCAACGGAGAGCTCCTGTACAGCGAGTACAACTTTTCCAACCTGGTGTTTGCATACACGGGCTCGGCCAGCTACAGCGCCTTGAAGTCGATCCTATCCAAGTTCACGTCGGAGGTGCAGTGGTGGCGCGGCAGCCGGGCTTGCAAGGAGAGCATCAAGCTGGCCATGAAGACGACGGCGATGCGAGCGGTGGCGGATGCCAGAGAGGACAATGACCATCGGGATGCGCTGTTCAGGCTTGATGAAGCGCTCCTCCACGTCAAGAAATGCCGCTCGACTAGGGAAGATCGACGAGCGGTGACGGAGGCGTTTATACGGGTGGTTCGACCTGCGGTTGCGGAGGCCGAGCAGGATCATGCCGCGGATGGGCGCCGGGCGAACCTGGCTACTACTACTACGGGGGACGAGCCGCTGTTGGAGATGGTGGAGGCGAAGCCGTTTCAGCGATCGGTGATGGGGGTTCGCCAGGGACTGGCGGCTGCTGGAGAAGCGTGAGCGGCGAAGATGTCGATGTGTACAAGTTGTATGATGCAGGTGTAGATGTACATAGCTTGTGAAGAGCATCAACAGCATTCCTAAAACACCCGATTGCCACCTATTCTTGTTTCCACTGTGCCTCCAGTCTGTCCTTGCTCCTCCGAAGACTTCCGCCAGGTACAAGGGGCCTCGGCCTGCATTGCAGACCCCCAACTTGTTCGTCATTCCCATGGGGGACATGCTACTAGTAGTAGTACCAGTATGTAGTAGCATTTGGACCACCTTAAGTTCTCGAGTGAAGAGAGACGGTGTCTTGTTGGCCTATCTGGAGCCAGGGACAGAAAACACGCACATGTCAGACATCAGGACAAGAACAAACAAGAACCCCCTCGCAGCATCTGCATTGTTTGTCAAGTGATGTCAAGTTGCAGCTCCCCTTACTCTGCCTAGTCCCATAAGGTGTGGTTCGTGTGTGTGCGCGATCCCGCAGCACGCCGGTAACGGGCACGGCGTTGAGGAGTGAGGTGTATTACGATTGGACGGGCAGGACGGAAGAAGCGAAACGCAATTGAATCTTCAAATCGGGCGGCGGGTGGCGTCGAGCCAATCAGCGTGGCTTGCTGTCACTGATTGGGAATCCGTGATGGGTGTGTGAGATTGATTGGGGGGATCTTGGAGGCGTTTTGTTTGACGTTGACGTTGACTAGTAGAGCAAGCTCCGGCGTCGGTGAGGAGGGTGTGGCCGATGGTGTACGAGTAGTTTGTAGTACATACAAATCTCATTATCAATTGGCTTTACTCTGAGGTTTGGAAGGGTGTGGTGGCTTGGGGCGATTTGGGTGATAGGCGTGATTGGGCTTCTTTTGAGTCAGCCGCTGTTCATTAGTTATTGATTGTATTAACGCCATTCAAGGGATAATCACTCATTCAACTTCACCCATTCCAGTCCCTTGTTCATTTTATGTGAGGCGGCACTTGTTTTCGGTCTGCCGCTCCCATCTCTTTGGAACGTGGGGTTTCATTCTGGTGCCTGTATCCGGAGAGCGACAACGGCCGAGTTCGGTCTCCGTCCAATTGGGGCGTATCATCTCTCTCTCTCTCTCGCTCCGAGAACTTGAATTGATACATGTAATACCACATACAGTACAATTGAATGGGTTTTGCTTTGGGCCTGGGGAGATCATCCCATCCCATCCATCACATCCCCCATCCCACGCAACCCCATCTAATCTAATCGAGAGCGATCTTCGGAGCAAGCCCAGAATTTTGGCGAACGGGTGTGGCTTGAGGTCTTTTTTTGCTCTCTTTCATTTTGGGGCGTAACGTGGCATGGGATCGGGGAGATTTGAGAAAACGCCGGGGTTATTGGTTTGATATGCTGGTTTGTTGTTATCTTTGCTTTTCTTGGCTTTAGAGTTTGGCCGAGGCGGCGAGGTTTGTTGGTAGTAGTAAGAGCAGGATGACCGGATGGAGGATGGATGGAGGGTTGGTTTGGCGAGCTGGGTATATAGAGGAGGTTGTTTCCCCCTCGTGCTGTCGTTTCTGGTTTCCTCTCTGTTTCTTGTTTTCTTGTTCCATTCGTGATAGACGTGTGACAAAACTCGATTTATATACACCTGAGTTATACATCTGTACACCTTGAGGCAGTCAAGCACGCGACACACCAACCACCACCACCAAATACCCAACAACTCACCCCAAAACTTCGCCATGTCTCACCTCCCCTCCGAGCCCGAATTCGAGCAGGCCTACAAGGAACTGGCCAGCACCCTCGAGGACAGCAGCCTCTTCAAGGAGCACCCCGAGTACCGCACCGCCCTGGCCGTCGCCTCCATCCCCGAGCGAGTCCTGCAGTTCCGCGTCGTCTGGGAGGACGACAAGGGCCAGCTGCGCGTCAACCGCGGGTACCGCGTGCAGTTTAACTCTGCGCTGGGCCCGTACAAGGGCGGTCTCCGGTTCCATCCTACCGTCAACCTGTCCATGTAAGTCTCATGATAGTTGCTGGTATCTTTTATGAAGCTTTGGGCGGGGGGCTAACAAACGGGGGTGTACAGTCTCAAGTTCTTGGGCTTTGAGCAGATCTTTAAGAATGCCCTGACAGGCCGTAAGTCTCTTCTCTCGCAGCCGAACGAGCAGAAAAGAATTTCAGGAGATCATATATAAGCTAACCCAATGTCAAACAACAGTCAGCATGGGCGGCGGCAAGGGCGGTTCCGACTTCGACCCCAAGGGCAAGTCGGACAACGAGATCCGGCGCTTCTGCCAGGCCTTTATGCGCGAGCTGTCGCGCCACATCGGCGCCGACACGGACGTGCCCGCCGGCGACATTGGCGTGTCGGGCCGCGAGATCGGATACATGTTCGGCGCGTACCGGCAGGCGCGGAACAAGTTTGAGGGCGTCCTCACGGGCAAGGGGCTGAGCTGGGCCGGCAGCCTGATCCGGCCCGAGGCCACCGGCTACGGCCTCGTCTACTACGTCGAGCACATGCTCCAGCACGCCGGCCACGGCTCCTTCGCCGGCAAGCGCGTTGCCATCTCCGGCTCGGGCAACGTCGCCCAGTACGCGGCCCTCAAGTGCATCGAGCTGGGCGCCACCGTCGTGTCGCTGTCCGACTCCAACGGGGCGCTGGTCGCGCCCGAGGGCTCGTCGTTCGCGCCGGAGCACATCGCCGCCATCGCCGCCCTCAAGGCCGAGCGCAAGCCCCTGACGGAGTTTGCCTACGGCGACCGGTTCAAGTACTTCCACGGCGCGCGGCCCTGGGTCCACGTCGGCAGGGTGGACGTTGCGCTGCCGTCGGCGACGCAGAACGAGGTCAGCCGGGCCGAGGCCGAGGCGCTCGTCGCCGGCGGCGTGCTCGTCGTCGCCGAGGGCTCCAACATGGGCTGCACGCAGGAGGCGATTGACCTGTTCGAGGCGCAGAGGAAGGAAAAGGGCGCTGCGGAGGCCGTCTGGTACGCGCCCGGCAAGGCGGCCAACTGCGGCGGCGTCGCCGTGTCGGGGCTGGAGATGGCGCAGAACAGCCAGCGCCTGGCGTGGACGGAGAAGGAGGTCGACGACAAGCTCAAGGACATCATGAAGAACGCCTTTGACGCCGGCTTGCAGACGGCCAAGAAGTACGTGCCCAGCAAGGAGGGCGAGCTGCCGAGCCTGGTGGCGGGCAGCAACATTGCGGGCTTTGTCAAGGTTGCGGAGGCGATGCGCGACCAGGGCGACTGGTGGGCTTGAGCTTTTTTGCTTCTTTTTTTTTTTCTAAATCTTTGTGTTCTGCCGGTTATAAAAGTGTTTGTCTTTGTTGGGCGTTTGGGGATGGGTATTGGTGGGACTTTTGATATCATGTACAGCGAGTGGTTGAGATGTTTCAACATGAACTCTTAGAATGCTAGATAGTTATGATATCTACAGGTAAGGTATGATAACCAAAAGATCCAAGTGATGTCGTATGGCCAAGATGTAAGTGATTCTCGAGGTAGATTATATGACTGAAAGTCTACGATGCCAAGTAGTAGTATAATAGCTCAAAGATATGAGTGTAGCCCCTAACAGACAGGCATAGAAGCGATGATCCCTAACAGACAAAAGATAGAAGCGATATTCAATACTCACGACTTCTGCAAAAAACGTCGACTCCATGACAGTCTAATGGGTATCTAACAGTCAGCTGCACAAACCAAGCGCAAAATCCCCATCCAGCATGCCCCCCAATTTCACTCCTCATCAGCCGACTCTCCCGCCATAAGCTGCTCCTTGATCCGCCGACTCGGCAGCCACCTGTCCTCGGGAATCCACCACCACGACAAGACGGCGAAGATGGTCACCGCGCCCATGATGACAGGCGCGTAGTTGAGCGTGTCGCCCGTGACGGGAAAGACGTACGGCGAGAACAGCACCGCGACGACCCAGCCGTTCCACAGCACCGACACCGCCTGGAAGGGCTTGCTCCAGCGGCCGAGGCTCCACGCGGGCTTGGGGAACGTCTTGGGCGTCAAGAGGAGGCGGCCGAGGCAGATGAGCCCGTAGGCGGCGGCCGAGGGGACGCCGGCGGCGGAGACGAGCGACGTGAAGGCCACCGACGAGGGCAGGATCGTGCAGGTGATGACGGAGGCGACGGCCCAGACGACGATGACGGCGTTGCGCGGCTGGCCGTCGGAGACGCGGGAGACCCACGAGGACCAGGGGAGGACGCCGTCGCGGGCCACGGCGAAGACGAGGCGCGAGGCGGCGAGGATGGCGATGGCGGTGTTCTAGGTGTGAGTGTGAGTATAGTTGGAGACAGATAAAGGAAAGGGGGGGGGGGCAGAGCAACTTACAAACCACAGGGCGACGATGCAGATGACATTCATCACAATGTGGCCGCCCTTGCCGAGGAGCACGGCATAAAGGGGCACAAACGGCTGGACACTTCCATACGAGAAGAGGGTGTCTGGGTCGGGCTTTGAATAGTGTCAGATGCTTCGTCCAGACTCATTAGGCATGCAAAACTCACAGTGCAAAAGAGAAACAGAATGACGACGACGAAACCCCCCAGTCCGCTCACAACGGTGCTCCAAAAGATGCCCCGGGCCGCAGTCACGCTGGCGTTGCGCGTCTCCTCGGCGACGTGCCCCGACGCGTCGTAGCCGATGAGGATGCCGGCCGTGGCGAGGTACGACAGGCACCAGTTCCAGCCGGGCGACGCGCCGGTGCCGTTGTACGTCGTCATGAAGGCGTCGTGGGCGGAGCGGAAGCCGATGGTGTTGGCGGTGCCGATGGGCAGCCAGATCATGTTGAGGACGAAGTCGAGGAGGACGAAGCCGGTGGAGAGGTAGAAGATCCATTTGAAGTATTTGGCTATGCGAGATGTGAGTTTTCTTTTGTCTGAAGAGGATTGCAATGACATGGACATATACTCACGGGACAGCAGGTTCCAGATTGCAGCCAGAGCGAGGAGGACTTCGGTGCAAATCCACTGGACGGCGCGGAACTTGACGCTCGACGGATCCGAGGGGAAGTCAATGTTGAAGACGACGATTTCCTATCGGACACCCAGATCAGCTTCCAAAATTGCCCCTTTTCTTCCTCATGGATACTTTAGATCCCAAGACCGTAGCTCAGGGGAGCTACGGAATAGACCTGTGCCGAGACTTACCGACAGCATGTAGTTGACAGCTCCCTGCGTGTTGCCTGTTGTTTTCATTCCCTCCAGTCAGCTGCTCCGACCTCTTCTTTCAACTGTTCACTCTAGTCAACATGAATGCACAAACATACTGGCACAGAAAGTCGTCCAGGCCGTAGTACTCCACCAGGCCACGACATATCCAAACAGCCGTCCCCATCGCGGTCCGCCGGCTTCAGCCGCCCAGAGGTAGATGGACCCGGCAAGGGGCAGCGATGAGCAGATTTCGGCAATGACGGCGGCGCTGATGAAGCTGAAGACGCACGTCACGATGAAGCTCGTCCTGGCGTAGAAAGAGCTATGAGTTTTGTGTACCTAGCAAAGACGAGGGTCATCATGAGCGTGGGAGGAGATTGAAGCTCACCAGTAGGCAAGATTGCCACCTGCGGCGATGCCGGTGGAAAAGGTGACGCGGACGCCGCCGATGAAGTAGAGGGCGGCTGTGTCTTGTCAGCATTCGGTTCCCGGAATTTGAGCAGAGATGGAATGGGAAGTCTCACCAAATGTGGTTGAAAAGTTGTGAAACAGATTAAACGTCCTATGAAGCACCTGCAAACAAAGAAAAGAAGTCACGATGAGAATCAGGCCATTGGAGTCGATACGGGGTCCTCGAGACGCACAGGTTTGTAGCCAAGTTTTGTCTATTCCAGAGCAATGTCAGCAACCACAGCTTTGCTTTCTCAATTGACTCTCTCATTGACTCACCAACACGCGGGTATCTGCAGATTCCTCCACGACGCCCTCGACATCGTGCGCTTTGGAGTCTCTGGGTGGCGCATTGGCCTCGCTTGCGGCGGGAGGTGCTTCTTCAATCATTGTCGCTGCCAACGAGTCACTCTTCTCTGCAATTGAGCAGAAAGGAGAAGGGAGAAGAGAGGAAAGGAATCGTCGCGATGCTTACACGACGGCAAGATGAAGAATCGAATGTTGGTTCTGCGCAAATCCTCCACTAAGAAAAAACAGAAAAGAATTAGACAGAAAAATAGCTCGCCATCGACATACCTTGCTCATAACCCAGTAGTGAGTGACATACGATAACACGGCTCGCAATCAGCCAGCCTCGCCTTTTGCCTCGTTTACTATTAGAGTTCTCACTATCCCACGTGGATCGGCAAAAACGTTCCAATCTTTGTTCCAATTTGTAGCCGGCAATTAGACGGAGGAGACACCGTTTCGATTTCGCTGCGTTTTGCGCGGCTTCAGCCTGTTTGGGATACCGAAGACATCAGGAGAGTCGATACCTGTCCGTGTTTCTCTCTCGCCAGCTCTTCGTCCTTTATTTTCTTTGTCTCAGCCGTTGTTTCTTTTACTTGCTTGCCTCTGCTGTGATATCTTCTTTTATTCTTCTTCCAAACTACCTACATGTGGCCTGGATTGACTTTGTCTAGCGACCTTTGGCGCTTACACTGATTTGCACGCCATCATCACGCATCTTTTTCGTCACCCAATGACCACGGCCGCAACCGTTTCTAGATGCGCCACCAGTTGAGCAGTATCTCGTTTTGTTTTGGTCACGGATTAACACTCAATTAAGCCTTCTAACCACTCTTGATTAGCAAATGAAGCCTTGCGCTAATGCGCCGATTTGAAGTGCAAAGCTCCAGGGTAGCCCTATGCTACTGCATGCTACACGGACCAGACTCAAGACAGTTTATCAGGCAGCTCAATATGTCAAACGATACTAGACATTGCTAATATCGACCTGTTAATTCTTTCTTTTGTATGTCTAATTAATCTTGTTAAGAAATAGCTATCCAATTTTGTGCAAGTCGCCGTTGACACATCTCGCAGGAGAAATAAGAGAACTACACACAACTCACAAGAGATAAGGTACTCAACTCGCGGTAGGCGTCTTCCCGGGCATCAACACCAACCAAAGCGTCTGCGTCTTCAACTGCAGCATCGTCCCCTCATCGACCTCGAGCCCAGCTACGTGAGGCTCCAGCGCCCTCATCTGGCTCGCCGCATCGCTCTCCTTGGTCTCCCACGCCATGCTCAGCATGCTATCCAGCGGCAGGCCCAGGTGATGCGCCAGCCCGGCGGAGTCAAACAGGTGCGCGTGCAGGCCGCGCATGTGCAGCCACTCGTCGTTGGCCACGGCCGCGTACGTCGCCGCCCTCTCCTGCGGCGTCCGCGGCTTCTTGGTCACGGCGCCAATGGCCTGGCCCGGCAGCGACAGCGTGGCCCCGACGATGCCCAGGGCCGTGGAAATGGGCAGCGAGATGGTCCCCCCGATGAGGCCCACGGCCGCGCCGACAATGTTGCCGCGCTTGGCGTTGTCGGACACGTTCCTGCCGATGGACTTTGCGTGGGCGGCGACGTTTTTGCCCAGGTTCTTGGGCGCTTGGCCGATGTGGGCGGCCATGTCGGTGGCGTGCGACAGGGCACGGTCGGATACCGTCGCCGTCAGGAAGGCCGAGATGGTGGCCAGGAAAGACCGCCACGTCTCCTTGGTGATGCCGTAGCTGAGAAGGACAGGGGCATAGGCCGGGAGAAACGGCGAGTCCTTGTCCGGCTTGATCTGCGGAAAGGCAATGGGCCGGGCAGATGCAGAGCTGCTGCTGCTGGCAGCGGCGGCGGCGGCGGCGGCGGCGGCGTCGTCGTAGATTGGCGGAGCGGCAGAGTCGCCTTTGCCTTTGCCTTTGCCTTGGCCACTGGTAGGGAAGTTGAAGGGCGAGGTGATGGTCGGGACCAGGGCCGACGTCGGCGCGGAAGCCGATCCTGACGCTGAAAGCTGACGGGATGCCGCGGGCGAGGCCGAACCTGACGGCTCCGGGTGTGACTCTTGGTATGCTGGCACCGGATCATAGGGTATCACTTCCTGCGGCATGTCGGCCGATGCCTGGGCCTGAGCCTGAGCCCTTCTCTCCTCCTCTGCCTCCTCGTGCTTTGACCTGCTTCCACTGCCGTTGTCCATGGCTGCTCGATCTGAGGTCTTGAGATGCCGTCAATGGCTACCCTCGCCTCTCAGGTTATGTGTTGATAGATAGCCTGATATTTCGGTGGTTACGTCACTGCAGCTCCAATGTTGATTCGCCGGCGTCGATGGCGTTTTCTTTCGAGACCCAACGCAATGGCGACGAGCTCAGCTTTTTATCATCAGCTCGAGTGAACCTCGACTCGCTGCGCCACAGAGACTCTCCTGATCCCCTGCATCAAACTACCATGCACGATCCTAAGCGAAGGATGAAGTTCTACTGGGCAATTGGTTCTCTCAGAAAGTTGAACGTCTCCTCAATGCATTGCGAATGCTGCCTATTCTGGATTTGGGGTAGCGGCTGGATGTGGCGCGGCACGACTGGGCGAGGCTTTGCATTGCTGACGACGAGCGTAGTGGCTGAAACTGATGATTCAGCCTGGATGTTCGTCATCCTTCAGATTGCTGAATCGCGACAGCATCCGCATCTCATTTCCCATGATGATGATTATGATGATGATGATAGTAGCTTGGCGTTCAACGTCGTGTTGATTCTCCCAGCCGATGGCAGCTGTTGGTCGGATCGGGTCTTGGAGACGCGCAAGTACATGTACATGTACACCCTCCACTGCCAGCAGCACCTCACTGCGACAGCCGCCCCCAGGCCCTATCAGTGGACCTCTCTAGAGCCCCTTTCGGCATTTGCAGCGCTGGAGCTCGCCCCCGCCATTGGCTCAACCCCGGAAAACAGCTCCCCAGCCGCACGTCCCAGTACCTCAACTACCTTACCTTACCTTACTTCCAAGGTTGCCGTGCGTGTAATACACAAGTCCAACCCAACTTCAACCTCTCCTGGGCCTGACCCCCAACTTGTCCGCCCACATTTGCAAACAGCCTTCCATCGTGAGTGGCCCGCTCCCAGGCTTCTTCATCAGGCTGCGCCGGCGTCTTCCCTTTGTTAGCCACTTCTGCCGCTGTACAGCAACCACCTGCTGGGAGGCACCATTCACCCACCATCCCGCAGGCCAAGGAGCTGCTGTCTCTTCCGCTGCCGGTAGTTCCGTGGAGAGGACAATCAAGACCAGCTACTACCTACTTACGTATTTGGCTGGAGGAACAGAAGAGCTGAGCCGATCATCGACGATTATAGCATTTACCGCGACGACATGCTGCATCGGCCGCTTCCCACCTCCACCTCCACCCGGCCGCCAGCCCTACCGCCAGCCCGGCCCCCCTCTGGCTTCTTGGGCCCCAACCATAACCATGGTTCAAGCTCCTCCTCCACACCCAACCGCCCGCCGGCCATCAAGCTACAGTTCATCAACACGGCACATCCTCGCGAATCGACCTCGGCCAAGCGTATCAGCCAGATCCGGTCTCACGTGGCCAAGGACTCCCACGCCCGCCGCCGCCAGCGAAAGGCCGGCAACACTGGCAACAGCAGTAACAATGCCTGTGCCTGTTGCGCAGCCTCGTCTGCCGCTTCTCATGCACCAGCGGCCGCTCCTGCAGAGTCTTCCGCCTCGTCCGAGTCGCCGGACTCCACCTCCGCAGGCAGTACAAGTAGTACTGCTGCTGAAGACGAGGGGCTGTCGAGCTGCTGTCCAGGCTTTCGGAGAATAGCCCCGAAGACCAGAGTCCTGGAGCGGAGTGCAGCTCTGCCTCATCCCAGGAAATTGATTGGCGATACGAAGACGGATGGCTGGTCGTTTGCCTGGGAGCTGTCGTCCGACGAGTGCAAGACCTTTGATTTTTGTGAGTCCAGATGCTTTTTCGCTGTGTATTTTATTCGTGACCCTGTTCTCTCCATGCAGATCTCAGATCAGATCTCAGATTGGGCATTTGCCGATCTGCCATGCTACATGTGGAGCACACCCGATGTTACACAACATGGAATCTGCTCCTACTCATACTCCTACCCCCTTCATCGCTCTGCCATTGTAAATGGCTGTATCTTGGTGCCAGTGGCGGTATCAGTGAGGCCTTGGGTGCAGATGCTTGCACTCTGTTATATCGGATGCTGCTCATCACGAACTGCTGAACTAACACTTACTGACGTCTCCTCCCCTCTTGAAGTCCTAGACTGGGTCCTCACGTACGGCTATGAAATCTGCTTTCCCCGCGAACAGGTCCCCGTCGTCATGGGCCGTATGAAGACAACTTACGTCCCCTTCGCCATCAAACACCCGTGCCTCCTCTCCTGCATCTTCTACATCTCCTACCATCGGCGCTCTCTCAACACGGATGATCCCGGAGAGGCCACCCAGTGCCACCTTAAGATGCAGCGCTACCGGCTGGCCTGCATAGAGATGATGAAGAGCGCGCTTGCGGCGGAAGAGAAGCCCTCTGCGCAGACCATTACGCTGGCCATGCAGCTGTGCTCGGAAGCTGTGAGTCATCACTCGTCCTGGACCGCTCTCATATTGTCGACCTGAAAATCTGTTTTCTAAAAATCCATGTCTCGTGCATGAGTAATTCACGGCGATTCGCTAACACGGGAGTCCATCGCAGTTCTTTGAGGGAAGCCCAGATGTCTCATATACACATGCGCACGCCGCCAGGGCCTTGGTGTCTGCAAGGGGCGGCCTCGGGAGCTTCGACCAGGCCGGCGTCGATGCCCTCCTCTCCTTTCTGCTGGCAACGTCCGTGTACAACGGGAACTACTGGTTCGTTCCCGGCTGTCCCAAGGCTTACATAGATTGAAAGTCGCACCATATAAGCAACTGAGGGGACTGCAAAAAGTGACCAGATCTTTGTAAATCGCAAGTATGATTTTGTAGATGCGAAAGTTGGCATCATTGGGTAAGTTTCGGGTTTCGTATAATGTCGTTGTTGTTCTCATCATTATATATACAGGTTGCCATTCAAACTGGGTCCTCATGCGTCATGCCCTTCTCGTTCTGCTCCTCACTAGCCATGACCAAGAATATAAAACAGAAGATCCTCCGGGTATCAAATCATGCTCAGAATCTCGCCCGACTCGTACCCCCACTCCGCCTCAAGGTCTTTCAACCGCCACACCGCGCCCCATCCCGTCGTCCTGTCGATAATCTTGAAGATGCGCGCCACCTCAAGGTGCTCCCTGGGGTGCGTCAGCAACCTGCCCGCGATGTACAGGGGTTGAATCGCGTTGATGAGGTTGCCACGGTGCGGGTTCGTCCACGAGATGCCACAGACCCTCTGGGCGTGCCAGATGGCCGAGTACTCGAGCGTGTTTGGCAGCGTCTCGCCGGGGGGCCGCATCTCGAGCATGACGATGCACGCTGTGTGGTAGAGCTGATTGCTCGAGATGGCGGCCCAGTGGGCGTAGAGAATGATGGGGAAGATTTGGTTCTCGCCGGCCTCCGTCGTCATGATGGGCAGCAGGCACTTGGGCCGCGTGTCGCGCCAGAACTGCAGCTCGGACCAGAGCCGGCGCCAGCGCTCGGCGAAGGGCCGGTCGTCGGCGTCGTCAGGCTCGCCCAGCTCGACGAGGCGGACCTGGCGGTGCATCAGGTCGCACGACTTGGCGCACAGGTAGACGGCCCAGTTGGCGTGCATGTCGGGCGTCTCGCGGCCCTTTTGGTAGAAGATGCTCTTGACGAAGTCCTCGGCGTGGGCGCGGGTGGTGCCGAAGCCCTCGGGCACGGGCGGCACCCACTTGTCGAGGGTCAGCACGGTGCTCTCCGCGCCGCCGGAGATGATGGCGCCGCAGAGCTCCATGCGGGCATAGCACCAGAAGACGGCCTGCAGCAGGCCGCCCGAGAAGCCGGTGACCTCGTAGAAGGCGAAGAGCGCGGCGCAGCCCTCAATGTGGCGCCGCCAGTTGCGCGGGCTGCCGGACATGAGCTCGAGCACGGCCAGGATGCAGGCCGTGACGAGCATGTTGGGGTCCTTGGCCTGCAGGCCGGGGGCGAGCAGCCGGATGCTCTCCTGGTAGAGCTCGAGGCTGTCGTGGCTGCTGTCGAGGCAGGCCTTGCGCTCCATCTGCCGCGCGGAGAAGGCGAGCACGGCGTAGAAGAGGCCCGGCGAGCTCTGCGCCATGAGGGGCACCTGGATGCCGAAGTGGCGGGCCTCGTCGAACTTGTCGAGGTACGGCGAGCACTCGGTGACCCAGTTCTTGAGGTACTTGACGAGCCTCATCTTGGGGATCGACACCCGCGAGAAGTCGAGGCTCTTGGATGACGGGACTGACGAAGGTGACCGGTCATGGTCTACTGCTGCTGCTGCTGCTGCTGCTGCTGCTTCGTCGGCGGCGGTGGCCGGCTCGGGGGATGCGCTCTTGCTCGGGGCAAGGCTGGTCACTCCGGCGAAGAGCAGGCCTCGCAGCTCCTCCTGAAGCTCGATATACCGTGGGTTCGCGGCGTACTCGTCAAAGGGAGAGAGCGAGTTCGGGGACATGAAGGTGTCCCCGTCAACATGGTTGGCCGTGGCATCGTCCATTGCCAGAGGCCATGGAGAGACGGGAGCACCCGCGTCTCTCGCTCTCTCTGTCTGTGTCTCTCTGTCTCTGTCTCTGTCTCTGTCTCTCTGTCTCTCTGTCTCCTCTGCTTTAGTTCTATGCTGCTCTGCTCCCCTCCAAGGCCGCTTCCCTGCAAACCTGGTTCTGGTCTGATATCGGAGGATTCCTGACGTGACTTTGTGTGCTAGAGGCTATAACGCTACTGCCTAGTACATGTAGTCTTGGTCTTTTCGTCCCCGCTGGTCAGCCGTTGAGTCTGCTGAGAGGACGAGAGCCGAGAAGCCGTTCCAGCACTAGGCAAATACGTCAATTACACGAACTAGCGTTTTCGTAACACGATGAAACTGGACGAAAAACAGGAAAAGATGACAATAATGGTGTCATGAACAGATTGAACAAAATCGAGCCATTACCAAGAAGTATAGGAAAAAGAAAAAAAAAAAAAAGCCTTTCGGCTCTCCACGTGGAGAAGGTTGGGGAAACTTGGGGGAGAATCAGCTCTAGTGGACCGAAGACTTGGGATGTTCGATGCATGGAGGCGCTTCCGTCTCCGCAGTTACGCGGGCCGGGACTTGGAGCTCCGGCCAATAGACTGCAGGATTCGCTGAAGGAAAAGCCCGTATTTGGGTGGCGGTTCTCGAACCGAAGCAGTCGACGTTCTGCTGGGGCCGGCACATGACATGATATTGGACTGATGGAAGGCTTCTGGTGCGGCGAGTCAGTCCGGCATCTCGCTGAGGTGGTGGTGAGCGTAGGCTACGCTGCCGCATTGGGAATGGTTCATCTTCCACCTTTAGCCGCTTTGGTGCCGCAAGCCGCTGAGACGCAGGGCCGGGCAACCCCCGAAGGCGTCTGCAGCCAATCGGCTCCCAGCTCGGCACTCGCGCCAGTTGGCGCCGCTGGGCCCGCAAATGGTTACCTAACAAAAGAACCGCGACTGGAGGACCGCCCCAAAACACGCACACTAGTACTACTACCATGCGGCGAGATGGCAGTGCTCATATGACAGATTTGGTGTGCATATTCATTCTGCAGTCCTCGGTCTTTTCTGATGCGAACCGCTTGCCCCAAAACAGGGGTCGGAGCCTACATACACCACCTTGATTCGCGCACAACCTCAACCAACTTCAGAACATGCGGGTATCCACCCCCGATCCTCAGCACGGCTCCACCGCCGCCGGGACATGATTCGTATGGAGGGGGAACTCCAGGTTTTTTACGACTGCGAGGGTATGGCAGCTTAAAGACTGGAAAACATGGGGTAAGACAGGGTGGGAAAAAAAAATCTGGAGTACGGGGACGCGGTGGCATGGACTGGCCTTTAAAATCCTGGGGTTCTCCCCCCGTCCCTCGTGGTATTTGAACCCAAGCAAGGCGATCGATCGCTGTCCCTCACCAGCTCAGTCCCCCTCGCTCAGCACCAGGTCTCATCAAAGGGTAACAGCCGACACAAGAGTGACATACTGCCGACTTCTTTCCGCACCGGCACAATGTCCACCGGATCGGATATCGAGACTGCTCCCAGCGGCGTCGCTGCCGTGGAGCCGGCTCGCCGTGTCCACGAAGCCCAGAAGACCATGTGGCAGTCGTTGAGGAACAACCCCAAGGTCCTCTTCATTGCCTTCTTCGCCTCTTTGGGTGGCTTAGAGTACGGCTACCAACAAGGAGTTCTGGGCCAGTCCCTGGTCATGACTCGCTTCAAGGACAACTTCCCGGCCGTCGTCAACTCGTCCTCGGCTACCGGCTGGCTGACGTCCGTCCTCCAGCTGGGCGGCATTGTCGGCTCGCTGTCCGCCGGTGTCCTCGGCGAGATCATCTCCCGCAAGTACACCATGTTCATCGCCTGTATCTGGGTCATCCTGGGCAGCTACCTCTACGTCGGAGCCCACGAGGGTGTCTCGTCGCTTCTGTACGCCGGCCGATTCTTCACCGGCCTCGGCGTCGGTCTGTTCAGCGGCGTCGGTCCTCTGTACAACGCCGAGCTGTCGGCTCCCGAGATGCGAGGCCTGCTGGTCTCCTTCTACCAGTTTGCCACCATCCTCGGCATCATGCTTTCCTTCTGGATCGGATACTGCAGCAACTTCATCGGCGGAACCGGCGAGGGCCAGAGCAACCTCGCCTGGCGACTCCCCTCCATCATCCAGGGAATCCCCGCCGTCCTCCTCGCCATTGGCATCTGGTTCATGCCCTTCTCGCCCCGATGGCTCGTCAAGGTCGGCCGCGACGAGGAGGCCAAGAAGACCATGGCCTGGATGCGAAAGCTTCCCGTCGACGACGAGCTCGTGCAGATCGAGTACCTGGAGATCAAGGCCGAGAGCATCTTCGAGAAGCGTGTCTTTGAGCGAGACTTGCCCAAGCTGGCGGCCAAGAAGCACAGTGCCTTTATCGAACAGTTTGCCCAGTACGCCATGTGCTTGAACTCCAAGGACAACATCAAGCGAGTCCTGACCGGTTTCTTCATCATGTTTTTCCAGCAGTGGAGGTAAGATGATCCATCAGAATGTCACTATCTCATCATATGCTAACAAGCCATGTAGTGGAATCGATGCAAGTAAGTAGCCCCTTTTTCACGCACTTCCCGGATACCTACAACGCTTTTACTAACCTGCTTCTTAGTCATCTACTATGCTACCAACATCTTCATCACTCTTGGCTTGACTGGAGGCACCACCGCTCTACTGGCTACTGGTGTTACCGGTGTCGTCTTCATGGTTAGCACGGTGCCCGCCATGGTAAGCTGCCTCGCGTTCCCCCTTCTTCTAGCCATTATCGGCTCACTAACCCTGTGCTGCTGCTGTAGTTGATCATTGACAAGGTCGGCCGCAAGCCCATGCTCCTCGTTGGCTCCATTGTCATGGCTGTCAGCATGGTCATCGTTGGTATTATCGTTGCCAAGTTCGGCCACGACTGGCCTCACCACGTCGCCGCCGGCTGGGTCGCAGTTGGTAAGTCACGGACAATATCGGGAGGTCTGAAAGCGTCTTGCAAATAGCTGACCAACGCTTCCTCACACACAGCCCTAATCTGGGTCTACATTGCTGGTTTCGGCGCCACCTGGGGCCCCGTCTCCTGGACCCTCGTCTCCGAGATCTTCCCCCTCTCCATCCGAGCCAAGGGCGCCTCCATCGGCGCCATGAGCAACTGGCTCAACAACTTCGCCATCGCCTTCTTCGTCCCTCCCATGCTCGAGGCCTGGGCGTGGGGAACCTACATCTTCTTCGCCGGCTTCCTCGTCGTGGGCATCTTTGCCGTCTGGTTCTGCCTCCCCGAGACCAAGAACGCGACGCTCGAGGACATGGACCGCGTCTTCAAGAGCCGCACCGGCGAGATTGACGCCCGGCTGATGAGGGAGGTGCAGGAGGAGGTGGGCCTGGTGGCTCTCGTCGAGGGCCGTGCGGCAGCCCAGTACGAGAAGAAGGAGATTCACGAGTCGCAGGTTGAGAAGCTGTAGATTTGGGACAGCTGCTGGCAGGAGAGAGGTACTGTAAGAGTTGTAACGGCTGCAATGGAGTAAAGCCAACGATACCACATATGAATAACTCGTCTTAATATTATGCATTTCTTTGTTCAAATATCGGGGAGATTGATCTTGACTGCTAAAGGTGTAATGACGGACGTATCTTAACGTATCTTAAAGTGACAAGAGCTTCTAGAAGGCAGTCTTCCGTCTCACTCTCGTGATATTACTATTGCCCTTTATATCAGCTTGCCCTACATGCTGATCTAGCCCAACACGGCAACAAGGCGCATGCACAGCTAACGGGGCACCCCCACAAAAGTCTGCACCCCATTAGCGGGGCGCTAGAGGCGCTCGCCTTCTACCTCCATACGAATTCCTGTATACGAAGAATTCCATTGCAAGCCAAAACCCGACTATTGAGCAGTAAAGTAACCTTTACTTCTCTCGTTACCAGCTTCATCCCTTCGAAGCTTGCCTTTATCCGCTGTATCTCCGCCATTGACATGCAGGGTGGCCAAGGCTACGATGCATATTTACCCCACTGAAGCATAACGGGTGCCTTCCGCTGGGATATGCGGATACGATGCGATGCCCTCCATTCGGAATGTCCCTGACGCGAAGAGGAGGGTTCGGACGGGATGTCTGCCGTGCCGAAAGAGGAGACGAAAGTGTATGTTCTGGTGACTTCCATGAGCCCTACACGTATCCGACTGCGCTAGAGATACCCCTGAAGAATTGCTTGCTCGAGAGAGAGAAAGCATCTAAGCCTTGAGTTGCATGCTGACTGGCTCCCGCAGGTGATGAGCGCAAGCCTCAGTGTGGCAGCTGTCAGGAGAGGAGCGTCGTGTGCAAATATCCGGAACTCACTTTCGTCATAGGCCCCAGGCTCGGTGGCCAGGAAAAGACTCTTCTTCGTCCGGACAATCCCTCGTCGTCTTACCCAAGTCTCAGGGTGAGTCAGGCCTTATACTCTCCCTTTATGAAGTGAGAGGGAGCGGCTATGCTTACACGAGACGCTGCTAGTTTGTAGATGGCTCTTCATCGACAAGGCCTTCGGCATCGTCAGCTCCAGTCCCCCCATCTTCTCAAGGCGACAGGCTGCCATTACATGTCGACGAGCCAGAATCTCTGATCGGACCTGGAGACGATACCGTAGACAGTCTCATTGAGAGCTCGCGTCTTCAGTCCAAGACCGTCTCTCATATCCCGCAATCCGAGTGGAAAGACTACTTCTCTTCTTCCCACGCTGCGTCCGTCAAGAATGAGACTGCGAGACTGCTCCACTTTCAGTATAACCTCGCGCCCTGGATTGAAGCGGGAGATCTAGGCTCCTTGTTTTGCACCGAGCTTATGCTACTCGCACAGAAAAGACGGCCGATCATGTCCGCAATATCCTCGGCTGCTTCCAGCCAGCTGCAAAGATCTGATCCGACATATAGAGCCTCTACGATACCTCGGCGAGACCCCGGCTCGTCTTTTGACCTTGAGGAGCCGCGAGTTAGACGGATTGGACTTGCCTTGCTCGCCGTGGGAGAGCTATTCACTCTGAGTCCATCTCAATGGAGAAGGCTCTCTTTTTTCCAGTCGGGTGAGCTATCGAGAGATGACAGCAGCTTTTCGGGGATTGGGGAGCCGCTTGGAACCCTGTTGCTGTTTCATTCCAGAGTTGGTCAGTTGGTCTTCCTTGACTCACATCGTAAGGAGAAGACGAGCGTCAAGACCTATTTGGCTAACATATTTTTTTTCAACAGACCTCGCAGCATCATTGTTGACTGATCAGCCACCGCTGACATCTCTGGATCTCATAATGACTCGCGACCCAGCAGACCGTGCCTTGCCACCGTCAACCAAGTCCATCTACAACGCTTGTCTAATCCAGCTTGCGAGCTGTCTCCAGCTGCTCAATGGCAACAGCATCGCTTCCAGCTCCCCTCCTTTCTTCACGTCGGCGACGCAGGAGACATTGTCCCCAGGGGCAGGCTCCTATTTCTCGTCTAAATGGTCCTCACTATGGTCGAGTTGCCAGCAGTGGTACCATGGCCGCCCCGTCGAAATGCAGCCGATTCTAGAGATTCGCAGCGTTGAAGCCGGCCAAATCGACGCCGACAACGATTCCTCTTTTCCGATCCCCGTTTACACGAGCTCGATTGCTCTCCAATGCAACATTGTCTACCACATATCATCACGCCTCCTTTTGCAGCGCAAACCTCGGCTCTTGCGCCTCTCTAGCCGACAGCGCCATCTTTTGTCGTTAAGCTGGCACGCTCAACAAATCGCCGGAGCCGCAACGCGCAACGAGTTTGCCGAGCAGTGGGATCCCATCCTCATCGTCGGGCTGCTGTGGATCGCCAGGGACATGACGCATCCATCGCAGCAGGAGTCGCTCATATCGTGCTTCCGCCGGATATCATCCACCATGGGCATAAAGCTGGACGAAGAAATCCAGGCGCTGAGAGCGAGATGGAGCAGTTCGCAGCACGCCAGGGGCTACCAGTTCTCTGGCTGACAGGATATGATTCCACGCCAACCTCTCCACCTTCATCCTTACATCCCAGATACACCCAACCACTCTGTTGTTTGAGCGACTCTTTTCTAAACGAAACTGGTACGGCTCCTCTTCAACCCAACTTGCTTCAAACTACAACATCTTCTCATGAGTCGATCTCATCCGAATACGGTACGATGCTGATATGAATTTAGATACCGCCTTCTCCTTGTGGAAGCCCGGCGGCGGCTATTACCCCACACGCTAAACCTCGGCCCGCCGCATCGGGTCTCAGCTCATCGGCTCAATCTGTGACAAGATGTAAAAGAACTTCGACCATGACAGCTCAATGAGAGCAACCCGTTCTCTTCTATCGACAGCGACAATGGCCTCCGAACCTCCGTTAAAGGGCATCAAAGTCCTGGAGTTTGCCGGCCTTGCTCCTGGTATGTAATCCCTCACTGCCACGCATCTCATCTTCACCTCCCACCTTCACCATCGCCTCATCCTCACTCTCATATCCATTCCCTCATCTCGCCCACACTAAATCATCATCAGGCCCCTTTGCAGGCCTCATGCTCGCCGACGCAGGCGCCTCCGTCCTCCGCATCGACAAGCCCCCCTCCAACGCCGAGCGCGCAGTCCCCTCCCCCGACCTCCTCGCCCGGCACAAGTCCTCCCTCGTCGTCGACCTCAAGAACCCCCGCGGCGCAGCCCTCATCAAGCGCCTCGCAAAGCACGTCGACGTCCTCATCGACCCCTTCCGGCCGGGCGTCCTGGAGAAGCTCGGCCTCGGACCGGACGCCCTGCTCGCCGCCAACCCGCGCCTCATATACGGCCGCCTGACGGGCTTCCGCCGCGACGGCAGGTACGCAAACATGGCCGGCCACGACATCAACTACCTGGCTGCCTCCGGCGTCCTCGCCCTCCTGGGCAGACAAGGCGAGAAGCCGTTCCCGCCGTGGAACATCCTCGCCGACTTCGCCGGCGGAGGCGCCATGCTCGCCCACGGCATCCTCCTCGCGCTCCTCGCCCGGACCTCCTCAGGCAAGGGCCAGGTCGTCGAGGCCAACATGGTCGACGGCAGCTCCTACCTCGCGACCTTCCCGCGCGTCGCCCTCAAAACCCCCGTGGGCAACAGGCCCCGCGGCAACAACATCCTCGACTCGGGCTGTCCGTGGTACGACACGTACGAGACGGCCGACGGCGAGTACATGTCCGTCGGCGCCCTCGAGCCCCAGTTCTTCCGCGCCCTCCTCAAGGGCCTCGGCCTCCAGGATCAAGAAGAAGAAGGCTGGGAATCCAGGCGGCACGACACTTCCCTCTGGCCTCGCCTCCGCGCCCTCTTCACAGAGACGTTCAAGCGCAAGACGCGCGCCGAATGGGAGGCCGTCTTCGACGGCACGGACGCGTGCTGCGTCCCCGTGCTGCACTACCGCGAGCTGGAATCGCAGCAGCCGCCCGCCAGGGAAGGCGACCAAAGGGCCGCGGTGACGCTCGCCGCCACGCCGCTCTACGCGCCCGCGGACTACGAACAGGGAGGGGGCTACGCGGGGACGAACCTTGCGCCCGGCGATGGAGGAGAAAGGCTTCTGGCGGAGTGGGCTGGGTGGGAGCGGGGAGCGCAGTATGATCTTGCTGAAGGGGGAGCGGCGGTTGTTCTGAGAGAGGAGAGGGACAAGTCTAAGCTGTGATTTTGCGTTTTCGGTTGTTTGGAATTCTTTTCGAAACTTTTTCCTTTTGTTTCTGGACATAGTTGTTATGGTATACCGATGAGACGGCACATTGATGCATTGGTCGATTCGGTATCATATCAGCGTCTGATGTATCAATTGCTGTATACTTATTTTCTACAGTGTAGATACCATCACGAAGCCACACAACGCAGGATGTAATGAGGCACTACGCACATCATAATGCCACGCATCAGGAGGTAAAATCAAGCAAATGGTTATTCTAATTTCTCATGCTATAAGCCTAAAACAAGTGAAACCGTTCTCCCCAGCCAACCAGAAGCACAAGCCGGCAATCTCAATCTCTCAAGAATCCTACTTCCAATCCTGAGGAGATAAAACGAGAAAAGAACCAGCTCCGCCTCTCCAAAATACTCCGCCATCCCGACGAGTTAATTTTTCTACCCTGATTATCCCACATGGCCGACACCCCAGACTCTTCCCCTTCTCTCCTGGACAAGATTCTCATTACTCATTTACTCTAGCCTCCGGAACAGCCGTTGGTATCGAAAAAGAAGGAAATAAAAAGGGAGGTTTTGAGGGGAAAGGAGGAAAAGGGGGGGCGAGTCATTGTGCGTGCCGTCGTTGCATCTCATAAGCCGTAAGTCGCCCAATTCGTTCTAACACGCCAATCTAGAATGCGCGTCTGGTTTCGTCTTCGTCTACTGCACTTGGCTGACGATTTCGCTGGCCTTGCCGAGAGACTCGACCATCTGCTGACACTCCTTCCGCCTGCGGATGGTGAAATCGCTCTCTCGCAGTAAGTCGTCGATGCTGTCCGTCTTGTACATGTTCTCCAGGAGTTCACGCTGCATGCCGTCCTTGGTGAGCCTGTGAAACGGTCAGTACTCGGTTCTCTTTCTTCAAACTTCTTCATCTCGTCGATACGTACTGAACGAGGTTGAACATGATGGCCTTGGGGACCATGTCGGCCATGGTTCGCTTCACAATGTTGTAGTAAGAAGAGATGAGCAGTTCTATCTGTAGTCAGCAAGGACGCATTCTCCGTTGTTCGCCAAGCAATCGACTCACTAATGACTTCGACCTCGATAACCTCACGCTCTGACAGCGTGCCTGAGGCCTTGAGGCTGGGTGGCGGCGGCTCCATCGCGGCGGCCTTCTTCTTGTTCTTCGCCGCGAAGAAACTGCCGAAAAATCCACCGTTTGAGCTTCCGTCCGCATCAGGAACTGTAGGGCTGGCAGCTCGGGCTGGCGTGGCAGATGACAGTGCCTTGCCAGTCTTGGGGTCAACTTGAACGGGTCTGGCAGGGTTATGGCGTTCATTGACAATGGCCATGGCCTAGATCGTGCGAGTCATGCTTGTTAGTTCTGCGAGCTTAGAAACACGGTGAATGAGTGGAGAGCAAAGGAGAGGGGGTGCGCATACGCGGTGGCCATTCAGGAAATCGGGATGAGCCGTGTTGATGTAGCAGGCCTCCATCGAGACCAGGTCTCGGACCAGCTTGTTGGTGGGCTCCATGGCCTTCTTGAAGAAGGCAACAACGGTGCTATGCATCTTCTCTTTCAGGGCGGGATATCGGCGGTACAGCTGCTTGGACAGCAGCTGGGACAGGATGCGCACCAGCTCGTCGTACACCAGCGACACGCACTTCAGACTCGGGTCTTCCATTCGCTTGATCTGCTGCTTGACGATCAGCTCGAAAGCCGTGGTGCCGACGAACAAGGCGGGCGAAGGACCCGACGAGTTGTACAGGTAGGTTCGGATATCCAGGTCCTTGACGACGTCAAAGGGGTCCAGGGCCTTGACTCCGTTGGCGTAAAGCTCGTGGAAAACGAAACTGATACGGGCACCGCCGGACAGCTCGGTGCTGGACAGCTCGGTATTGTTACCGTCCAAAACCGTGCGCCACTCGTTGGTAAACTCGGTGATGATGTTCAGCACGATGTTGGAGCTGTTGCCGAGCATGGACGGGCCCAGGCTCTCCAGCTCGGCGCTGTACTTTTGCAGGGAGCTCGAGATGCGCGCCTTGATGTCCGGCAGCGTCTGCTTGATGTGCATCATCAGGATCAGGTTCAGCTTGCGAGCGAGATAGGGGGTACCGCAGTAGGAGCTCTTGTTGCGGTACGCCGCGTGGTTCTCGAAGAAGTTCTTTTCCGCCTCCAGGGCAGCGCCAATGGCCTTCTTGTTGTCGATATCTCGCTGTCCTCGGTTGACAACCGGAACGTAGCCCAGGCGCAGCGGGATGATGCGGTTGGACAGAATGTCGATGACGTCGGTTCCCTCTTCCATCAGGTCGACCTTGGTGAGGACACCAATGGTGCGCTGGCCCTCGGGGTCGACCTCGCGCGCCAGCTTCAGGCCATCCGAGTTGGCCAAGTCGATGTTAGCTGCGGTGACAGCCAGGATGATGGCGTTTGACTTGGAAATGTACTTGAGCACCATGTCTCGAATCTGGCGCTCAATGTCGCGGGGCTGGTCGCCCACGGGGACCTTGGTCAGACCGGGCAAGTCGACCAGCGTCAGGGTGAGGACATTGGGAGAGTAGATGCGCAAGTTGATGGGAGCTGCAGAGATGCCAGCGTTTCGCCCAACCTTGGCTTCCGTTTCCCTCGAGATTTCCTCCCTGATCTTGGAAAAGTCGTAGAACTTCTGACCCGGCATGTGAAGGAACTCGCCCCACTCGTCCGGGTTGGCGGCCTTGTCGGCGCCGGCTTCGATGTCCTCGTGGCTGACGCCGTTGGACTGGGCCGGGCGGTTGATGAGCTGGAGGACGAGGGGACGTCGCGTGACGATGCCGGTACCTCGGGGCAGACTGCAGTCGAACTATTAGCATGGCTCGAAGGAAATCGAGATAGGGGAAGCTGGTGGACTTTTCCCCCACGGCAGCTACTCACAAATCACGGCCGACAATGTTCTCTAGCACTGAACTCTTGCCGCTCGACTGGCTGCCGACGACGGCGATCTGGGGGAGATCAATGGGGTTGTTGACTCCGACGGTTGCGAAAACATCCTGAAGCTTGTTGACGAGCCTAGAGGGATGAGAGAGAATCGACGTCAGCAACGGCGGCACCACGACGGGAGGGGCGTGACAGAGGCAGTCGGGGCTCACTGGATCAGGGCGGGATCGGTGATGCCACCCGTCTGGGTAAGCGAAGAGCCAGAGCCGCTCATGTTTGCGCTGGTGATGGCACGAAGAGGAGATGTGCGGCGAGGAGTCGGTGATCAGAAGCTTCGTCGATTAAGGGGGGAAGAGGCTATCGCGAAGACGGCGGCGGTCGAGGGAAGTGGCGGGGTGCCGTGTGTGATAAGCCGGTAAGACGGTGAAGAGAGTCTTGCCGGTTCGAGCGTGGGGACTTGCACCAGACGTGGCTCTCCCAGAAGGCGCTTGCAGCTGTCCTGAATTCGCAGAAGGGAGGGAAAATGGCGGAGAGCCGCGAGCAGGCTGAGGGTTGAGAGGATGCGAGTTTATGGCTGTGATGGAGTTAGGAGGACTCGCATGGAAGAGAGAGCCTGACTGGGAAATGCCACTAGGCGGGTTCAGGGAGTTGTTTTCGTGTGAGCCACGTGTGGCGATGCAGCTGAGAGGCGGCGGGGTACCGGTACGAGATAAGTGCCCTGGATGGGTACATCTAGCGTGGGACTACTACCTGAACAGCGGTGCTGGTGGCTCGTGGCTCGTACCTGTACTTGATGCGAGTCGGGCTCCCTTCACGTGAGGCTGGTGCGTTCGCCGGGGAGGCTGCAAACCCAGCACATGCAGCCTAGCAGGGGCTCACGTCACTCGATGATGTGGACAAACAGCGGACGCTCCAGCGGTTTCACGAGGAAAAAGCTGAAAGGAAGAGAAAACTCTTGGAAAGACGAGCACCTATTGGATAGAACGGGGAACCATGAGAAGAGGGAAGAGGTTGCCAGTCACGGCCGGGTTTGGGCGCCAGCCAGCGGCAGCCAATCGATGTAAGTCGGCGCCGTGTCAGGTATCAACCAACTTCACCCTGTACTGCCCACATATCGTCACTCATGCCCGAATACCCACGAGGCTGGATGACGAAACGAAGGGTTTTGCAGATGCTGAACTGAAGGAAGGAAGGTCAAGAACAACTATAAACGCATGTAAGCCGATTCACGAGATGCAGTATTGCTTCGCAGATGTCTTTCACACCTGGTGGGCCCAGGCAGACTTGTTTCGTGTAATTGTTAATCTGGAGGCACATGCACCTCTGAAGCCATCAGGGTCTCGAGGCAGGGGAATCTGGGTCGGGAGCCACTCAAGAGGCGCGGGTCATGCAGCTGGATACTTGCAGCCCAACCAACGGCGGCCGTCAAGCATGGAGGCGGAAACAGGGCGGGCGAAGTCGGCGCCTAACGTCGTGAGGTGCGTTGAAGCAGCACAATAGAAGGGTCGAAGGTGTGCCTTTACGGAGTACCAGAAGATACTTTTTGGTTCATCAGATCGGTATATCACCCATGCCTAGGTTACCTAAGGTATGTAAGTACTGAACTGAGCGGATAAGAAGCCTTCCATTGGATTTATCGTCATCCAGTTAATGTCCAGAGTCGTTGCTGACGGTTACTTGTGCTTGATGTAAAACTCCACCACGAGAGGCCGCAAGCCCTCATCGGTGCAAAGCAGCCGCCTTTGAAACCTTCTGTGACACGATTGATGCTCCCTTGATAATCCTTGGCTCTGAGGCAAGCACAGCAACTTGCAGTGTCTGGGACACTGTCGTAGCATCAAACGCTCAGCTCTCAATCAAGGCGCTTGGTAGCGGCTGTAGCTTGTCGCCACGGGCCGCTAAACCGTCGTATTGCCTGGACGAAGGAGCATCATGTCATTGATGAAAGTATGACCGCCTGGACACGCTGAGATGAGTGAGGCTTGCCTTGGTAGATATGAGTTCAAGAAGCGAGTATAGGCTGTGTTAAGAGCGAGCTCTCAACTCTCCACGTCTGCCCATGCACAATCGAACATTGACCATACCTTAAGTTATCCCTCAAT